TTGTTGATATTGAGTATTTCTTCAAGTTCCTTTAAAGTTTCGCCATTCAATCTGGAAAATTATCTCGCTCGGTTGCAACGCTCTCTCGCATATACACTACGCAGGATTTTTAAAGGGGGGGGGGGGTTAACATTTCTAAATCAGGCCGAAAATTTTGCAACGTCTAAGCGAGCCGCTGAATAGGTGGGGCAGGGGGGGGGGGTACATTTTGAATTATTTTGTTGGTCCCAAAATTTTCGCAACGACTCAGCCAGCCGCGGGAATAAGCACGGGGGCGGGGGCGGGGGGGGGGGGGGGGGGGGTAAGAGCACATTTTTTTTTTTTTTTTTTTTTTTTGGGGGGGGGGGGTTCCAAAAAATTCAAAACGCCTCAGTAGAAGGGGGGGGTAAGGTCACTTTTTGGGGGTCACCTTAAATCAAAAATCACATACATAAACAAATTTGAGGGGGATTCAAACCCCAAAACCCCCCGCTGCGTACGCGCTTGTGTATTACATAGATTCGCCTGTGCTAGTCCAACTCCTTCATTGTCTAAAGCTTTATTTCCTTTTTTTTTAAGGGCAATTACATATAGTGACATTCTATGAGATACGTTAAGGACACGTGGTTTAAAATTATCAAAGGATGATAGGTGGGAAGATGCCTCTTTTAGCAAATGAATATAATATGTCATGATAGTCAATGACTCTTTAGATGACCGCAAAAGGGCACATCTGGTAAGCGACAGCTAGTGGGAAATATAGAAAAGAAAAAAGGACTCTTATCAAGAACAAGAGGAACTGATCTTGCTTTAAAGGGGCACATAATTATCAGAGGTAAAAAAAAAGGGGGGCATTTACAAGAATTAGGGGAAGGGGTACTTAACAAAAAGGAAAAAGGAGCACTTATCAGAAGGGAAAAGGGAAAAGTGCATTAATTAGGAATGGAAAGCGGCCGTGTCAAAGTAAAATGGGTGCTTAACAGAGATGAAAATTAAGGCGCACTTATTTAGAAGGGGAAAGATGCACTTTATTACAAAGGAAAAGAGGCATTTATCACATTTGGATATTGATGCTAATCATAATAGGTGGAAAGGGGTATTCATAAAAAGGGGGCACTTGTTAAAAATACAAAGGGGCACTTATTAGAAGAGAAAAGGTCAATTATTGGACATGGAAAAGGGACACTCATCGCAGGTAAAAAGGGGAAAGGGGCACATAATAACTTGAGTAAACAGGGTCATTTTTTCATCGTAAAAAGGGCACTTTTTGGTGTACTTGAAAAAGTGGGACACTGTGCCTCCACCCTCCCCCTTGCTCCACAGTCTCTGTGATTGATTTCATATCATTCTTTTGTCTCGCTAGGGAGACGGGAAAATGATTTGCCCTATATTTTTGGAGAGAAAAACACCTCCCCCAACCCCCAGTTCGGAGCCTACCTTGTGATTGAGGGTTTGTTGAGTATATGAAGCAGTGTGTTCGTTGATGTGTGGCGAGAAAGCGTAGCGATCTGAGATTTTGAGATTGGAGTGGCGACACAGCGTTTTTGTGTCTTTGTTTTTTAGAGCAAAATACAAATTATTATACATACTATATCTAATTGTGGACGCGACAGTCGTGGACTTTGTACGGGGGGAGGGGTTAAAAATGTCAGCCCTCCCCCCTCCCCAGTCAGAATAGAGTAAAGGCAAGTAAGCGACCATGAGAGCAAAGTTTGGTATTTTCTTGGGGGTGTGTAGTCCTGAAAAGGACTGTTGTTATCTTTCTTCTAAGGAGAACTATAGCGCTTGGAGAGGATGAGTGGCTCGACGCTACACACCCCAAGAAAGATTACCGAGTCAGAGTCCTTTCCAGGACTCCTCAACCCCCCCCCCCTCTCTCTCTCTCTCTCTCTCTCTCTCTCTCTCTCTCTCACATGGTGCACCCTCAAACCTACTGTATATCTACATCACCATGCAAGCCGACACTTACAAGCAGCATCAAAACATATATTGTACATTACAAGTCAAAAAATAAAGTTGATAATTTGGTACTTGCCTTTTTATTGTACCTTTGTGGTGGTGATGTTGTTGTTGTCGTTCTTATTTTTGTTGTTTGCAGGCTAAAAGAAAGTCAACATTTATTATGAATACACAGATCTTAAACTGATGTGTTAAAACTTTAGCACAATACGAGACGATTAAGGGGAGACAAAGTAAGATGTGACTTTCGTTGCGTGAGTAATGGTGGAAATTAGAAACGGTAGTCGTTAGCTTAGCCTATACCGATAACAACAGGTATGGTTTTTTTCAATCGTGTCTTACACAGTGAGTCTTTTTGAATCAGGAGAATGGTTAGAATAAAATCAGTTATGCGTGTAACTTACTAAATATTACGTAACACATATTTTTACAAATAATATAACCTCTCAACGTCCTGTAGTCAAGGGGGACTAGCTCAAATGGTAGAGCGCTCGTTTTGCATACGAGAAGTACCAGGATCGATACCTGGGTTCTCCAATATGGTGGAATATTTTTTTATTTTGATTTTTCTTCTCCCCCCCCCCCCCCCCCCCTTACACCTATAACGGCTTGGTGATGACTCTTCTAGTTCGGTTTAGTAGTTTGTTGATATTGAGTATTTCTTCAAGTTCCTTTAAAGTTTCGCCATTCAATCTGGAAAATTATCTCGCTCGGTTGCAACGCTCTCTCGCATATACACTACGCAGGATTTTTAAAGGGGGGGGGGGTTAACATTTCTAAATCAGGCCGAAAATTTTGCAACGTCTAAGCGAGCCGCTGAATAGGTGGGGCAGGGGGGGGTACATTTTGAATTATTTTGTTGGTCCCAAAATTTTCGCAACGACTCAGCCAGCCGCGGGAATAAGCACGGGGGCGGGGGCGGGGGGGGGGGGGGGGGGGGGGGTAAGAGCACATTTTTTTTTTTTTTTTTTTTTTTTTGGGGGGGGGGGGGTTCCAAAAAATTCAAAACGCCTCAGTAGAAGGGGGGGGGTAAGGTCACTTTTTGGGGGTCACCTTAAATCAAAAATCACATACATAAACAAATTTGAGGGGGATTCAAACCCCAAAATCCCCCGCTGCGTACGCGCTTGTGTATTACATAGATTCGCCTGTGCTAGTCCAACTCCTTCATTGTCTAAAGCTTTATTTCCTTTTTTTTTAAGGGCAATTACATATAGTGACATTCTATGAGATACGTTAAGGACACGTGGTTTAAAATTATCAAAGGATGATAGGTGGGAAGATGCCTCTTTTAGCAAATGAATATAATATGTCATGATAGTCAATGACTCTTTAGATGACCGCAAAAGGGCACATCTGGTAAGCGACAGCTAGTGGGAAATATAGAAAAGAAAAAAGGACTCTTATCAAGAACAAGAGGAACTGATCTTGCTTTAAAGGGGCACATAATTATCAGAGGTAAAAAAAAAGGGGGGCATTTACAAGAATTAGGGGAAGGGGTACTTAACAAAAAGGAAAAAGGAGCACTTATCAGAAGGGAAAAGGGAAAAGTGCATTAATTAGGAATGGAAAGCGGCCGTGTCAAAGTAAAATGGGTGCTTAACAGAGATGAAAATTAAGGCGCACTTATTTAGAAGGGGAAAGATGCACTTTATTACAAAGGAAAAGAGGCATTTATCACATTTGGATATTGATGCTAATCATAATAGGTGGAAAGGGGTATTCATAAAAAGGGGGCACTTGTTAAAAATACAAAGGGGCACTTATTAGAAGAGAAAAGGTCAATTATTGGACATGGAAAAGGGACACTCATCGCAGGTAAAAAGGGGAAAGGGGCACATAATAACTTGAGTAAACAGGGTCATTTTTTCATCGTAAAAAGGGCACTTTTTGGTGTACTTGAAAAAGTGGGACACTGTGCCTCCACCCTCCCCCTTGCTCCACAGTCTCTGTGATTGATTTCATATCATTCTTTTGTCTCGCTAGGGAGACGGGAAAATGATTTGCCCTATATTTTTGGAGAGAAAAAACACCTCCCCCAACCCCCAGTTCGGAGCCTACCTTGTGATTGAGGGTTTGTTGAGTATATGAAGCAGTGTGTTCGTTGATGTGTGGCGAGAAAGCGTAGCGATCTGAGATTTTGAGATTGGAGTGGCGACACAGCGTTTTTGTGTCTTTGTTTTTTAGAGCAAAATACAAATTATTATACATACTATATCTAATTGTGGACGCGACAGTCGTGGACTTTGTACGGGGGGAGGGGTTAAAAATGTCAGCCCTCCCCCCTCCCCAGTCAGAATAGAGTAAAGGCAAGTAAGCGACCATGAGAGCAAAGTTTGGTATTTTCTTGGGGGTGTGTAGTCCTGAAAAGGACTGTTGTTATCTTTCTTCTAAGGAGAACTATAGCGCTTGGAGAGGATGAGTGGCTCGACACCACACCCCCAAGACAGATTACCGAGTCAGAGTCCTTTCCAGGACTCCTCAACCCCCCCCCCCCCCCCCCCCCTCTCTCTCTCTCTCTCTCTCTCTCTCTCTCTCTCTCTCTCTCTCACATGGTGCACCCTCAAACCTACTGTATATCTACATCACCATGCAAGCCGACACTTACAAGCAGCATCAAAACATATATTGTACATTACAAGTCAAAAAATAAAGTTGATAATTTGGTACTTGCCTTTTTATTGTACCTTTGTGGTGGTGATGTTGTTGTTGTCGTTCTTATTTTTGTTACTTGCAGGCTAAAAGAAAGTCAACATTTATTATGAATACACAGATCTTAAACTTATGTGTTACAACTTTAGCATAATACGAGACGATTAAGGGGAGACAAAGTAAGATGTGACTTTCGTTGCGTGAGTAATGGTGGAAATTAGAAACGGTAGTCGTTAGCTTAGCCTATACCGATAACAAAAGGTATGGTTTTGTTCAATCGTGTCTTACACAGTGAGTCTTTTTGAATCAGGAGAATGGTTGGAATAAAATCAGTTATGCGTGTAACTTACTAAATATTACGTAACACATATTTATACAAATAATATAACCTCTCAATATCCTATAGCAAAGGGGGACTAGCTCAAATGGTAGAGCGCTCGTTTCGCATACGAGATGTACCAGGATCGATACCTGGGTTCTCCAATAGAGTGGAATTTTTTTTTCTTCCCCCCCCCCCCCCCCCCAACCCCCCCCCCCCCCTTACACCTATAACGGCTTGGTGATGACTCTTCTTGTTCGGTTTAGTAGTTTGTTGATATTGAGTATTTCTTCAAGTTCCTTTAAAGTTTCGCCATTCAATCTGGAAAATTTTCTCGCTCGGTTGCAACGCTCCCTCGCATATACACTACGCAGGATTTTTAAAGGGGGGGGGGGGGTTAACATTTCTAAATCGGGCCGAAAATTTTGCAACGTCTAAGCGAGCCGCTGAATAGGCAGGGCAGGGGGGGTACATTTTAAATTATTTTGTTGGTCCCAAAATTTTCGCAACGACTTAGCCAGCCGCGGGAATAAGCACGGGGGCCGGGGGGGGGGGGTAAGAGCACAGTAGAAGGGGAGATAAGGTCACTTTTTGGGGGTCACCTTAAATCAAAAATCACATACATAAACAAATTTGAGGGGGATTCAAACCCCAAAATCCCCCGCTGCGTACGCGCTTGTGTATTACATAGATTCGCCTGTGCTAGTCCAACTCCTTCATTGTCTAAAGCTTTATTTCCTTTTTTTTAAGGGCAATTACATATCGTGACATTCTATGAGATACGTTAAGGACACGTGGTTTAAAATTATCAAAGGATGATAGGTGGGAAGATGCCTCTTTTAGCAAATGAATATAATATGTCATGATAGTCAATGACTCTTTAGATGACCGCAAAAGGGCACATCTGGTAAGCGACAGCTAGTGGGAAATATAGAAAAGAAAAAAGGACTCTTATCAAGAACAAGAGGAACTGATCTTGCTTTAAAGGGGCACATAATTATCAGAGGTAAAAAAAAAGGGGGCATTTACAAGAATTAGGGGAAGGGGTACTTAACAAAAAGGAAAAAGGAGCACTTATCAGAAGGGAAAAGGGAAAAGTGCATTAATTAGGAATGGAAAGCGGCCGTGTCAAAGTAAAATGGGTGCTGAACAGAGATGAAAATTAAGGCGCACTTATTTATAAGGGGAATATGCACTTTATTACAAAGGAAAAGAGGCATTTATCACATTTGGATATTGATGCTAATCATAATAGGTGGAAAGGGGTATTCATAAAAAGGGGGCACTTGTTAAAAATACAAAGGGGCACTTATTAGAAGAGAAAAGGTCAATTATTGGACATGGAAAAGGGACACTCATCGCAGGTAAAAAGGGGAAAGGGGCACATAATAACTTGAGTAAACAGGGTCATTTTTTCATCGTAAAAAGGGCACTTTTTGGTGTACTTGAAAAAGTGGGACACTGTGCCTCCACCCTCCCCCTTGCTCCACAGTCTCTGTGATTGATTTCATATCATTCTTTTGTCTCGCTAGGGAGACGGGAAAATGATTTGCCCTATATTTTTGGAGAGAAAAACACCTCCCCCAACCCCCAGTTCGGAGCCTACCTTGTGATTGAGGGTTTGTTGAGTATATGAAGCAGTGTGTTCGTTGATGTGTGGCGAGAAAGCGTAGCGATCTGAGATTTTGAGATTGCAGTGGCGACACTGCGTTTTTGTGTCTTTGTTTTTTAGAGCAAAATACAAATTATTATACATACTATATCTAATTGTGGACGCGACAGTCGTGGACTTTGTACGGGGGAGGGGTTACAAATGTCAGCCCTCCCCCTCCCCAGTCAGAATAGAGTAAAGGCAAGCAAGCGACCATGAGAGCAAATTTAGGCATTAGTATTTCAAATTGAAAACTACTCAAACTTTGTTAAAGTAGAAGACAATCTTAGATGTAAACACAATTCCCGTGATTTTTATTTTTTTAAATAAAGGTATGGCTTTAATTGTTGTTGCTCTCATAACTGGTGATCAAGTATATCACGTCAGGATTGTAAGAGCCTAAGCACAGTCAAGGGGATTGTACGTCATGCAACATGTTTGATCGATGCAATCACCGACCTGCTCACATTTTTACCTATTGCCCTACTCCAATCAATAACATTCTTCATTATAAAGCATATATTTACAGTAGGTTTGCGGGTGCACCATGAGAGAGAGAGAGAGAGAGAGAGAGAGAGAGAGAGAGAGGGGGGGTTGAGGAGTCCTGAAGGACTCTGACTTGGTGATCTTTCTTGGGGGTGTGTAGTCCTGAAAAGGACTGTTGTTATCTTTCTTAGCATATAGTTCTAAGGAGAACTATAGCGCTTGGAGAGGATGAGTGGCTTGACACTACACACCCCCAAGAAAGATTACCGAGTCAGAGTCCTTTCCAGGACTCCTCAAACCCCCCCCCCCCCCCATCCCCCTCTCTCTCTCTCTCTCTCACATGGTGCACCCGCAAACCTACTGTATATCTACATCACCATGCAAGCCGACACTTACAAGCAGCATCAAAACATATATTGTACATTACAAGTCAAAAAATAAAGTTGATAATTTGGTACTTGCCTTTTTATTGTACCTTTGTGATGTTGTTGTTGTTGTTGTCATTCTTATTTTTGTTGTTTGCAGGCTAAAAGAAAGTCAACATTTATTAGGAATACACAGATCTTAAACTTATGTGTTAAAACTTTGCCTATTGTACAACTATGTATTTGTCGTCACTTCTTTTGCGACCATAATTATATGGAATAATATTTCAAAGGACAATTAACTTGGTCAAAATCCTTTTGCGTCAATTTAGATCAAGCAAAAAATACTCTTTGTCAATTGAAATTCATTTCCTGTCACATTCAGGTTCAATTTCATTTACTTTTTTCGATTGCATATAACCCTGTGATGCATACTACCATAAAATGTGCTTATAATTTAAAGCAACTAAGAGCAATTTGTTTATATTGCTTTCTTCCTTTCCTTCCCCTCCCTCCCCATCTCTCATTGCCTCTCCCTTTACTATTCTCTTTCTCAAACTCTTCTTTACTCTTTTTTGTCATGTCTGTTTGTCTGTTTGTCTCGTTGTCTTTCTCCCTCCCCTTTTTCTCTATTTGCTCTTCTCTTTTCCCCATCTCGTCTTTGCTCCTCAATCTTTTCCGTTTGGCTTTCTCCCTCTATGTCTCCCTCCTTCACTCTCTCTCTCTCTCTCTCTCTCTCTCTCTTATTCCTGCATGCCCTTCAGGATTACAATCACATGTGACGATTAAAAACAAAACAGTATTTTGTATATTTTATGATCTTTTAGTCAATGATATTTATCAACATAAAATAGCACACACATTGCACACACTGACATATATACATATAATAATGTTACAGGAAAGAAATAGATACACATGTATGACAGTGAGGGTTTTCAGTACCTAAATACTATTTTACAGACAAATTTTTTAGAGAAAATTGATAAATATCCCACAGCAAAATTTCATTTTTTATACATAAATTGTATTCATTTATCACTGATTTGAAGCATAGGTTGCAGCTCATACCTCTAGTAATTCTTAAAATATAATAATAACCGTTATATTCCTCTCTTTAGTATGTTGAATAAAACTAGTCATCTGATTGGCCGAACAATTGCCCGTTGCCCGGATAATGGTCAATAGGTAATGAGAAAGATGCCTGTTGCCCAGGTAATGGGACACAATACATAGTTAAATTTTGATGAGATCCCCATTAGTTTATGTGTAAAAAGTTTCTATGTGTGAGCGCGGATACCATACAGTGTGTGTGTGCGATTCCAGAATGATCGTAACATTAAAGCAACTTTCCAGCAAAGATTAACAGACAGTGTCTCAGATTTGCTGTGATGTTTTAACCAATCTTTACTCAGGAAAAGGATAAGGCAAGAATTCTTTGTAGATTGTTGTGTGAATTTGGTATATAAAAGATATGGACTGTTTTAAAATCGAGGCATAGCCCTTTCTCAAGGGGCTCTCGGGGTCATAGCAGGATGTAACATCCCCTTAAGCCTATAGAAACAGCTATGCCTCTCATAGCAGTCAATATATCTATATTATTTAGAAAATTGACTTCTATGACCTTCACCTTTGACCTACCGGTACTTTGAACTCCAAATATAATCAGATTGGTGCACGAGGTAAGTGCACAGGTTTAAATCTGTAAAGGGTGACACATCTGCAAAGAAGAGAAAACATTCTGCCAATCCGAGCAGAGAGACACTCAGGCCCAAGAAAGATCCTAAGGGAGAATATGCTGAGAAGAGGAGCATGGGAGACACAAGGACAGATAGAGGTCATTGCCATGGCAACCAAGATGGAAAGGAAGTGTATTTATTTCTTGGTTTGTTCACAGTAGTCATGGAGAAGGGCAGCCATGTAAATCCTTTGCTCAAACTCATTGACAGGTTCAAGCAGGAAGCGATCTTGACCAAAGTTGACACTGAGGTAAGGGCTATAGGTGCACAGGGTCACAGTTCATCGTTACCATTTGTTTATGTATTCATGGTTTGTTCACAGTAGTCATGGAGAAGGGCGGCCATGTAAATCCTTTGCTCAAACTCATTGGCAGGTTCATATAAGAAGCGATCTTGACCAAAGTTGACATTAAGATAAGGGCTATTGGTGCACGGTGTCAAGGGTTGGCTTGGTTGGTCATCTTGTAAAAAGTTGAATAGTCTCCCTGTAATAAAACGATATCATGAAATGAATATATTCAACGATTGTCAATTTATTGACACTTCATTTGTTTGGATTTGTTTTTAGGAGGGGGTATGTGATATGTCTACATATGGAGTGCAAGGAATGCAAGTCTGACAGACATGAGCACTAAACAAGAAACCATCATTATTATTATTATATAATTCTAAAGTACTTTATCATAATTCATTGAATCCAATGACAGCTCACTTTTGTTTCTTAGTTTTTTTTTGTTTCCCCCCCTTTCTATTCTTCAACACTACATTTTCCTCCACTGATCTCTATTTCCTCTGTTTCTCTCCCCCTTGTGTCTACATCAGCCTCCCCTTCCCCCTCCTGTCTAGTGTGCTCCTCTCCTTATATACCTCTTTCCACCCTCCCCCCCCCCCCCCCCCCCCCCCCCCCCTAACCCCCCCCCCCCCTCCCTCTCTCTCTAACTCACTTCTCTCTCTCTCTCTCTCTCTCTGTTTCTCTCCCCCTTGTGTCTACATCAGCCTCCCCTTCCCCCTCCCGTCAAGTGTGCTCCTCTCCTTCTATACCTCTTTCCACCCTCCCCCCTCCCCCTCTCTCTCTTCCCATCCCCCTATCCCCCTCTCTCTCTCACTCACTTCCCTCCCCTCTCTCTCTCTCTCTGTTTCTCTATCTCTTTGTCCCTCCGTTATCTCACTCTATCCCTTTCTCTTCATGGTATAAAGATGCTGCACGAAATGGGTTAAGCTGTCAGGCTGAGTATGATAGGTGCATCACAGCCTCTTCAAGAGCTGATAGATCCTGTAATGATGAAACTCCTAGATCTTTGTTATTTGGTGTAAAAAGAATTCGTTTCCAGATTGTTTTGTGTCATTATCACTGGCAAATAAACCTCAAGTTCCAATAAGCTTACTTTAGCACACGCACACACACAGAGATAAGTGCACTTACCTCTACAGGTGTCAATGCGCAGTGCAGTGCATGTATTAATCAACACACAGTATAAGCGCATTAACCTCTACACGCACTGCTGTGCATTAAAAAATTGTTGCATAGTATTAGTAATGGAAACTATCGCACACATTTGTTCATGATCGTCACAGTAATTGAATCACACTTAACCGCGTTTGACCAATCATTTGATTAGGGTCCAGGTGGGTGTTTCACAAAGATCTTAAGTTGAACTTATATCTAAGTTGGACTTAACAATTATGAAAAGCCGGTAGCATCTATGAAAATATTTTGCAAAAGTTATTTTAAAAGGCATAAAATTTTGATTTAAATCATTCATATTTTCTATTATTAAGGAGATTTCTTGTTCTTGATGTGGAATTAATGAAAAGTCTAAAATACTTGAATTTTCTCTTTGGAATATATATTTTTCAAGGCTATAAATGGCTCTCCATAATGTCTAAGTCCAACTTAGAGTTAAGTTCAACTTAGAATCTTTGTGAAACACCCCCCAGGAGTGAGTTGTATGATACTCACTGATGGGTTGTCCATTGACGGTGAAGAAGACTACCCCCGGGGGAATGAGGAGAGCGCATCCAATCGTCAGGACAGGACACTTGGGAACCTGCACAAAATAAACACATGATGCATTGATATAAAATGCGCTCTAGAATGTATGCATTTTAACTGCTCAAATGACACCAAGTGGCCATGTGTTTTTCTTTCCTACTGGAAATGTTAAAGCCTCTGAACAATACAATCATGTTTAAGGACTTTATCAGAATGTTAGAAAATGGAGTTTTTTTATTATGATCGAAAAAAACAATGACTTTTTCTTATTATCCTTTTCTGAAATTCCTGACATCACACGCAATGTGGTCATGCAACTAGAATGAACACGCTAGGTACAGAAATATTTGCCATTTCTTTTAATGCATTTGGTATATTTACTAAGGCTCTGAATCAAATGTTAATGGGCCAAGCCAAATACGTGGAATGCTTGCCCCAAAAGAGATAATAAACAGCACAAAGATTCATTCAAACACAATTTTCAACAACATTGCAGAGAAATTACTGGAAATATCAAAAGGAGTAATTGATATACACTAACATTGCATTTAAATTTTGAGACTTTCTAGATAAATATCATTAGTTCAATTACTTCCCTAGCTTAAAACTTAACAATTAGCAGACATGCACTGACAAATTAGAAAACCTGCACATGATAAACTTTCATTTATCTACAGATATACTTTATAAAGATAACACTAAACATATAATAAATAAACTTGAGAAATTCATAGAGAACCTGTTATTGCATGAACTTTTTTGTTTAAATTGCATCATAATGTGAAAGAAGATGTTATTTAAGACACACTTCTACAAAGATCCCCCCTCCCCCCCCCCCCCAAAAAAAAAAAAAAAAATGTGTTTGAAGACAACTATTGATAAAAGAATACATAATTTGGGTTTTCTGTTGTATGCAGAAAACCTTAACGTTGCATTCTTTCATCAATTTTATTCGACTACAAACCCATTTGTTTCGAAATCCTATCAGAAATGTGTCTTAAATTACATCCTCTTTCACATTATGATACAATTTGAGTAAAATTTTGCCGTCACATTTTTGGGGCTACCAACATTTTAGAGGGGTTCTAAGCCTTGTTCAGCTATGCAGCCGCAAACTGAGGCAATTTGTTTTTAATGATGATGTAAAGTATACTACCCTTAACATTTCTGTATCTTGTAACACAGTACTACGTGAATACATGGAGGACCTACATTGCACACAGTTGGCATTCATCTACACATTAAAAACCACAGTGTCTCTAAACAAGCCTTTACCTGCTGCAAACTGTTGTCTGGCATAACAAGCTCGTCTTCCTCGGTCAGTACTGCACAAACCTGGACACTAGCATCTGCACTGCAGAACCCTATCACGACTGGTCTGGAAAAAAAACACAGAAGAATTCAGTTTAATACTGGTTCTGTTTCTCCTGGCAAATGCATCCAAACAACTAACCCCCAAGTCAATAAAAATAAAAATATTAATAATATTAATAATAATAGAGTATATTTGTGTAGCGCATAATAAATTGTAAATTTCTCTATGCGCTTTACATTTGAATATATAAACAACACTAATACAACAATAAATAACAAAATAGATAAGCAAATGACAAAAAATATTTATAAAAAAGTAAACCAATTAATGCACCAATAATTACACCTATTAAATTAATTAACATTACATATAACAAATTCAACAAACGGACAGACACTCATCATGTCGTATCAGCCTCCCAACCAGCAACGGACAAATTTACTCTAGGAGGAGACCCTTGAAAACAAATAGGTTTTCAGGGCTCTTCCAAAGCCGTCAATGCTTCCAACAACTCGAAGCTGGTCAGGAAGCTGATTCCACAAGACAGGCGCTGCCGTTGAAAAGGCACAAGAACCATATGTTTGGGTTGATGGGGTAGGGACAGTCAGGAGATTCTTTGTTGAGGAGCGGAGATTTCTACGGGGTATGTAAGAGCAAATGATATGAAGATAAGTCGGGGATTTAAGAATCATCACCTTGTAACACAACATAAGAACTTTATACACAATTCTTTCTTTTACAGGTAACCAATGAAGGCGAGTTAACACGGGTTAACATGGGTGTAACAATAACGTATTTGCATAGGGTAGTGACCCTTCGGTATTAACATTGCTCTTCCTGCAGGTTCTGCAATTATTATTTTCCAAGCGTTGCTAGGTACCCTTTATCAAAGAGGGACAAACCAGGATTAAACACGTTGTCCCATATTCAATTCAATACTTAAGTTTGAAAAAAGAGTATTTTACTTAATCTTCGGCTTGGATAAAATACTTTAAAAAGCCAATTTGTGTATTCAGTTCAAACTTTTAGCTAAGTATTTTACCCTAAATTTAAGACAGCTCCAATGAGACTTAAGCCAATTATTTGGAGGCCTTGATTGGCAGCAAATGATTTTATAACACAGTAATGTAACCTGTGCACAATTATATTAGCGCGGATTCCTTTGATTGACCGTGTGATGTCACAATGCTTATCGGTAAGTATTTTACTTAGATTTTGTCTTATGTATGTAAAAGTCTAAAATGCGATTTGAATAGGAGATAAGTAAATTTCTTAGCTTAGAAATTTACTTAGTAAATTTCTTACTTATTCTAAGTATCAAATTTAATTCTGGCCCTTGTCCCAGGACGTCAGCACCAAGCGAGGATCGAACCCAGGGGTCCAGGGCCCTGTTTCATAAAACTTGATATCAATAACAGGTTACAAGCTACTGTTATAAGCTACTGAAATCATAGCATCTGATTGGCTGAGAGCAAATTTGTCATAGAAATTTAGCAGTTGTTATAGATAACAAGTTTTATGAAACGCGCCCCAGGACCTCTCAAATAAAAGTTTTAAATTCTCACTCTTACAATGACACATTCACCCCTTGACAATTACTATACACATTCTGAGAATCAAAATGGCATTATTGATTGGGTCTCAAAGAAACTGTGGTGGAAGTGGCAACCAGAAGTGGATTGAGATGGATGGGTCATGTGTTGAGAAGGGAAGATGATGAACCTGTGAAAAGGGCATGGGATCTGGAAGTGGATGGCATAAGAGGGAAAGGGAGACCAAAGATTTCATGGAAATATAGGTGAAGAAAGAAAGAAAGACAGAAAGCAGTAAGGTTGGTTTAAATGAGGAGGATGCGCGAGACAAGAAGAAGTTGAGGGAGGTAGTGTTCAACATAACGCAAAAGTCAATAATCCCTTGTTGGCGAAAAACAATGCCGACTCTTATAAATGATGATGAGGATAATGATACCCCTCTGGCTCTCAGGAGACAATCATTCTTGTAGACTATCTACTCCTACTTTTATGATAAAAATGGTAAATGTATGAAAACAACAGACAAAAAAGAGCTACAGTCAACATTGAGCATGCTCTTATAAGAACTAGGGATTGCATATCGAAACAAATATACAGTGAATATGATCATTGTCTTCCTTTGGATCTTACCTACGATCCACGTGGCTGATGTTCACTTCAAAATAGAGAGAAGGCGGAGGTTGGAACTCTTCTGCTTCTCCACCACCCTCTGCATCCTCTGATCCCTGGATTCCTATTGGTCCTGCCTGGTCACCTGACCCTGCTTCACTATGTCTGATTGGTTCGAATCTCTTCTCAAAGGCCTGCCTGTACAGGGAGTAAGATTCCTGCTGGAGCGATGCGTCCACCTGCGCAATCTTTGCCATGGCGACGTGGCGCGGGCTGTCCGTCATCTCGGCAAATGCTTCTCCACCCATTTCGGCATATCCAAAGTCACTACCAGCCCCATCATTTCCATCGTCGATATAGTCTATGGACTCGACATCTCTTGAAAGATCTGGCTCTTGAAGAGGAGCCATTTCTGGAAGGCCACTCTCACTTGTCAAGCTATCATGGTAATGTCCGTCACTACTGTGGATTTGTGAGAGGGGTTTTATGTCAGGGAAGACACTGAAATCATCTTGGAATGGTAGGTCAGGCCCTTGATGAGCTTGGCAGAAAGGAATGTAACCATCCGGAATGACATCAGAGTACCTGTAATTTTGATAAACAATTAGCATGTTAATCACTCTTTCAGTACATGGCCGATAATCTGATATTACCTACATGTATATCTTAAAAGAGTAAGAAAAATGTGTGCAGGTTTGAAATCCAGTGAGAAGTATGGCCACTAAGCTACATGGCATATACATGTATCATTATCATCATCCTCGTAAAGCATCTGTTTTACCCACGCTGTGGGGTTGTACGTTTCATTTCCTTTATGACCTTTCTCCAAGCCTTAAAGTGATCTGATAACTTTGTCTCAGATTCTGAAACAAAATTCTGGATTTAGCTCATGCTTGAATGATAATTATAAACCTTTAGGTCAGTCAGGAACCCCATGACTTTTACAAGCCGATCGTCTGTCTGATTATCAAGATATTTATGATTGGAAATTGAAACCAGAGTTTGCGTTTTCCTAACAGTTTTCTTAACACTACAGTATAGTAAAACCGGTCACTCAAAGATTTTTACTTTTATGAGGCATTTCTTGATCATTTTGAAGCAGAATTTTTTTTTGGACTTCAATATTACACCATATCACAGACACTGATAGCACGTAGGGCCAGGCATCTCAAGTTTAACATTGTTAAACGATGCCTTTAAAGTCTTTGGCATCCTCCTGGGTAAGGGCAGATGCTCTTGTGTCTTAACTTTTGCATTATTTTGTGATTACTTTACTGAAGCTGACAGAGTATTGGACAGGGCTCTGGATGAAAGTATATTACCTGAATGTTGAGTCTCCAAAGTTGAACCTGATATGTTGGTCAGTTGAGAGAGAGCAGGCAGGATACCAATCTTGATTAAGATCCAGACCTGTATACAGTAATAACACAATCACATTCATGTTGCAACTTCAATTCAATTTCAATTTTAACTTATTCATGTTTTCAACAAAACATTACAAATCAATTATGAGCATTTAAAACAAATGTAAGAAATACATGTTGGAAACAGAGGGGTTCACTAAAAAGCAATGCTTGTACAAGTGTGAACACCTCAAATGATACTTAGGACTAATGAGTAATTAAATTAACTAATCTGTAACTACAAAAGGAACTACAAAATAGGGGAAAGAAAATTGTTTACATCCTCTCTAACATTCCCCTTCCCCTCTTCTCCATATCTACTCGCTCCCTTTCATTTAATCAAATTTAATGTACCGTAGGTTTTAATGGGAAACACTTTTCAAGGGAAATTTTAAAAAATGCAGACTTTATAGACACGTGGTTGCTATTAAAAGCAGGTTTGACGATCTTACAGAAAATCTGGAGAAAAACCATAGATATTGGATCTCCATAATACAAAATCTTGTAAAGTATTCACGGAAAGAAGTGTTTTTCATGAATAAACATAACCTTCCGCCTTCAAAAATATACATTCACATTAAAAGCTTTCACAAGTCAGGCAATGTACTTAGAATCCTTCTTGGGCTTGTAGGTTATAAATATCTTTATCAAATTTCTTTTACAAAAAAATAAATAAAGATACTACAAATAAACTCACCTTGGAATGCGACACCCATATTGATGCCTCTCAACCAGAAACTTGCGTTTCCGTGACGATCCATCAAACAGCTCACTACATCTCCAACTTGCCATTCAAGACCATATTCATTATTCTGAGGGGTCAAGTGGAGTATTATAAATGTTTGAATTTAGGACATATGAACTTTCATTGTAATCCTCCATATAATAAATAACATTGGTATGAAAATGAGAAACCAAACAGATATCAGACTTTCAGGACTTGAATATAAACTGTACAAGCCTGTGAAACGATCATAACTACGGTGCATTAAATTACAAGTTCTCTCTTTAACTCTGTGTGTAAGAGGTTTTCATCCTCATATTTCATGCCCAAATTTTCATTCCAATTCTCAACTAAACAATAAAAGTGCTCTTTAAAGAAGCACATTCACCCAGACTTGGCTTTCTAATAATTATAGGTACTCCTCCTCCTCTTTTTTTCTTCTTCTTCGTCTCCCTCCTCTTTTTTCTTCTTCTTCTCCCTCCTCCTCCTCCTCCTCCTCTTTTTTTCTTCTTCTTCTTCTCTCTCCTCCTCCTCTTTTTTCTTCTTCTTCTCCCCCCTCCTCCTCCTCCTCTTTTTTCTTCTTCTTCTCCCTCCTCCTCCTCCTCCTCTTTTTTCTTCTTCTTCTCCCTCCTCCTCCTCCTCCTCTTTTTTCTTCTTCTTCTCCCTCCTCCTCCTCCTCTTTTTTCTTCTTCTTCTCCCTCCTCCTCCTCCTCTTTCTTCTTCTTCTTCTCCTCCCTCCTCCTCCTCCTCCTCCTCCTCCTCCTCCTCCTCCTCCTCCTCCTCCTCCTCCTCCTCCTCCTCTTTTTTTCTTCTTCTTTTTCTCTCTCCTCCTCCTCTTTTTTCTTCTTCTTCTCCCTCCTCCTCCTCCTCCTCTTTTTTCTTCTTCTTCTCCCTCCTCCTCCTCCTCTCCCTCCTCCTCCTCCTCTTTCTTCTTCTTCTTCTCCCTCCTCCTCCTCCTCCTCCTCCTCCTCCTCCTCCTCCTTCTTCTACTCTTTCTTCCCTATTGTTAACAAATACATGAATGGATAATTTTCTAACCAGAGTTTCAGTGATAGGTCCATTCCACTTCCTACATCTAGCTCCATCAAACGCACACGAGTTGAGATCATCTCCTACTCCAAGACCTAGACAAATTACAAGAGACAACTTAATAATTAATGCACCTCGGAATAAAATTTCTAGATAGACGGCGCTATAGAAATGCCTATAATTATTATTAATTATTATCAGGATCAAAGACAAAGACAATAACTGTTAAAGCTTTGTCAACCACACTTCCTCCATAAATCTCCTCACTCTTTCAGCAACAGAGAACATCATATTCAGTTCAATCAACATCAGCTCTTTTCTTTCTCATTCCCGAATCCTGAAAACAGGCCTCGCTTTAAATTATTTATGCCTATGGAAGAAGCTCCCTGCATTTCTGAGAAATAGTACTTCACTTGACTCTTTTTTTTTTTTAAATCTTAATTAATTTGTCCTTGGACTAATAGCACCGTGTACCATCTACAAAAAATGATACATATATCAATTTTTGCATTATTATCACTAAGGGATTAGTTTATGTAGGAACTAGGAAGGCAAATTCTACTGCTGTAAAAACCAGACACTTTAGTGTGCACTTACAAAGTCACAATATGACAGAAAGTGGGTCTTGAAATAATACAAATTTTAATTGATTGAATTGATATTGATATTGTTTCTGATGTTCATATGACAGTTTTTTTTTGTTTTGTTTTTGTTTTGTTTTTTTGGGGGGACTAGCTCTTTAAAACAAAGTAAATATCAAATGCAGACAGCTAGAAAGTAGTTCCTGTATCCCATCAAGAAACAAGATCAGGCAATTCTGGTAGGATCCATTTTATTCCAATCAATAATTCCATTTCCATGATGTAGCAAATGCTGGCTTTGTAGATGTAAAGTGGAAGTGTATGTTAATTTATTAAATTCTGTACCAAATAAAATGATAAACCTAGCAAAGATTAAAAAGCCACATCAAGTACAGAGACTGCAATAACCAAACACTGAATTCTAAGTTAACATTTAATATTTAATATTACTTCAATCTTAAGTATGTTGAATTCCTGATTTAATTTAAATTATTTGTATGCGCCACGAGCATCTCTAGAGATGGATATGTTGCGCTTTATAAATATAGTTATTATTATCATTATTATTAATGTAGAACCACTGACCTTTCTCTGGTCCAAATGTACACTGTTTTGTTGCCCAACCAACTTGAATGATGCCATTGGACTTCACCTCTACCTGTTTGATGAGAATACAAACATTTTCATATCTTAAAGGGACTTGGTAACATTGTTCAGATGAGAGAAAATGGTGCTAAGGTAGTGACTTCAATGCTAGATGTACAATTTAAGATAATCTGAAAGTTTGAGTGAAAACAGATCATTATTAATGATAACAAATGGGAAAAACTGATCTGATCGATTCCTTATTTCTCCCAACTATATTATTACATTTTAATTACATTTTAGGTGAATGTAAATTGTCACAAAGCAATGTATTGGCTCTATATACCATTCCAGACATTTAAGTGTTGAAAGATTTTAAAAAGCCTGTCTTATGTCATATTTTCAAGGAAAAACGATTGTGAAAACTCAAAAATGGTTGGGAGAATTAACTGTTAAACACTGTTAGAGGGTGTTGCACAGTGACGCCTTAAAACAAAAACATAAATGTCCATGTGGTTTGAGAATTTTCTCAGATTTTTTTGCTTGTTAGAGGGTAAGTACAGTAGAAGGAATATAATGAGTAACATTTCATACAAAAATTCCAGTTTTTTCATCAACCTTCAACAATGTTACTGAGTCAATTTAAATAATCTACCACTAAAGTTGGCAAAAAACATGTGACATGTAGAATGTAAATACTGTGTTGACTATTATAATATATATATATATATATATATATATATATATATAAATTTGTGTATTGCATCGTTTGAATGCATCTCAATGAAAACATAACATTTGAGAACGAAATAAAATCTATCAGAAAAGTCATATAATATGCTATAATTGTTAGACAGGAAACAGTCATCTATATTTTCTCATTAAAACTAGACATATAAAACCTGCCAAGCACGTGATACAGGTGAGGTAGGTTAATGCCAAATCTGTATAGCAGGCAAGAGTATACTACCCCTGCACGAATGCAGTAGTTAACAAAAGATTAATGCATACTTAATGTAACAAAATTTATTGCATACTTCTTTGTGAAGTGTCTCATTACAAATATTACATTTACCTGTAACGGATGATTGTAATTCAATAGCCAGAATGCAAAACGGATATATTACGTGTTATTAGGTAGGGCAAGCCATAAGGTTTGTCCTACCTGGCAACAATTAATGTATGCAGTTTGGTTACATTATAAAAGTAGATGCTGCTTGTAAGTATCGGCTTGCATGGTGAGGTAGATATACAGTAGGTTTGCGGGTGCACCATGTGAGAGAGAGGGAGGATTGAGGAGTCCTGAAAAGGACTCTCGCTAATCTTTCTTGAGGGTGTGCAGTCCTGAAAAGGACTGTTGGTGTAGTCTTGAAAAAGACTGTATGTTATCTTTCTTTCTTAGCTTATAGTTCTAAGGAGAACTATAGCACTTGGAGAGGATGGGTGGCAGGAGTGGCTCGACGTTTCGAACAGGTTGACTATCCCTCGTCACCAGCCAATTTCAGGACTCCTCAATCCTCCCTCTCTGTCACATGGTGCACCCGCAAGCCTACTGTATATTATAAAAGTAGTCTATTGGTTTGTATTTACCTCATAATACCAGCCTTCCAGATGTTTGTTTGTTGACTGCACTTCTCCATCCTTAACATGAGGAAGAGGATTCACGGCAATAATGCTTTCAAATGTCCAGCTGTCGTTTCGGATCTGTGGGTACAGAAAGGGAGGAAAGATAGTTCATTCTTATACAGCGCTTTTCAGGACCGCAGGCCCTCTCAAAACGCTTTACTGATATATATTATTACCCCGGTCATCGGATTCAGGCTTACCTGCACACAATGTATGCACATTCTCCACTCCCTGGGAGCATTCCAGCCAGGTGTCAATTTTATAAGCGCACACTTCCTCGTCTAACCACATTAACTTTCATATCCTACCAGGTATCCATTTAACACCTGGGTGGGGAGTGGCAAATGTAGATCAATGTCTTGCTAAAGGGCATTAGCGCTGCGGGGGGACTTGAACCGCGGACTTTGTGATCCACGGTCCGGTGACATATCCAATCGACCATGACACCTCTTTTCCATAAGGCAGCACATGCGCAAACAAACGTGCAGAGATTTAAACAAATTGTTGAAAAATTTACCTCTAGATGGTCAGCACTGACTAGAAGAGCTGGCGTTCTTGTTGTTACATCAAGTTTGACAGTATTATCTGGTGCTACTGGCATGTCTGTGGCAGCAAGCTTGGTCATTGCAATAGCAACAGGGAGCTACAAAAAATAGAAAAAAATAAAACTTAGCCTGTATTTTGATATCATGTACCTTCATATCAAATTTCATTAAAATCTGTCAAACATTACTGAAGTAATCGATCGGAAAAACAAAATTTGTTACGGACGGACGTATGGCAGCGTTTCTATATCCCCTCCGACTTCGTCGGCGTGGGGATAATAACTATTACTGGTAAATTGTGATTCAGTTTTGATTTCATTTTGATAAACATGTAGATTCTGCTTTACACATTTCACTCTCTTATTCATTAAAACATTGGCATGTCCACTAGCGTTTACATTTACATGTAGCTTTATATTTTGCTTTGTGGTTTCTAAAATGCATAAGAACAACAAGCTGTATTTGCAGGACAAAGCAGCCAGCCTTGCATGGCTTTACATTCATTTTATATATACTATATATTCATTTATCAAGAAAATAACTACACCTACAAATGTACAGTCAAACCTGCTTTAGTGACCACCTGTCTACAAAGACCACATTTTTTTGTTTCCCTTGAAAATGGGTTCTCATTGAAACATGTACTAAAGGAACCTGTTTACAAAGACCAGTTTTTGTGTTTCCCTTGGGTGGTCGCTATCGACAGGTTCGACTGTACCACAATTGTATTTTTCATTTTACATTTGCACCATATACAATGTTTCAATAGTAATCAGTCAGGTTTGAGGTTATCCCTGATTATTAGGACTCTGGGAACCCTGACTGAACCCTGGATTACAAATAATAATTGACTACAAAAATTAACAGGTAAAGTCTAGTTCCAGTCATGTGATCGCACTGTGAAAGAAACTGGGTGGAAGCAAATAAAAAGGTTGATCAGGTAGCAGATATTAAAGTATTGGTGTAAATTATGAGGCTTTAAATCATCAAAATGTTAGGAAATTGGCCCAGTCTTGCTAAAAGTCATGTGCACTGTACACAGAAATGTGTATATGGGCTTCAAAAACATGTGGCATCAATTAAAGTGCGGTCCACAACCTTTAGCTGTTACTTGTCATATTTCAAATATGAGTGCATTAAAGAGCCATCCTTTCCAAGGGACTTTTTTTCTTCTATAATACTCTTCCACACTAACATGAAAAAGCTCACAAACTATCAAGTTTCTCTTAAAAATAATAAAATACTGTCTTACTGCTGTGGCTTTCATCGATTCTGATGAGCAGAGGAGAGTAGCCCATAGAGCATACATAGCTCCAGATAGATGAAGAGAGGACTGCACTGCTCTAGAAATATCTGTTTAAGATCATGGAAAATCATAGGAAACAACCAGAAGTTACAGAGAAAATAAAACGTCAGGCTACTATTGTTATTAGGGGGATATTAATTCCCAACCTGTTCATGACATTGATGCTGCCTGTAATAAAACATTTTCGGTCTTGAAGACAAAAGAACCATTTCATTACCTGGCAGGAATTATTTCCTTGAAATGCTAGAGCGCCATAATGGGAGCCATGGTAAAGCCACTGTAATAATCAGGAGCGCCAGGAGTGTCAAGTCTGACAGACATGAGGGCAAGATCCCACTATTATTATTATTTATTATAAACATGTAAAAGAAAACACAAGCTACAAAAGAGACAGTTTGAGGACAATGTGAAATATTGTGGAGATAAAGACACTTTGTAAACAGTGCAGCACTTAAGATTTTTGTTGAGGCATATTCAAGAGCCAAAGCAAACATTGCAGTCTCTTTGCTGCCATAAAGTGCTGCTAGAGAAAAAAAAGGGTAAAATTCCAATATCACTGATATAATCCTGTTGCACATAAAAATGCATTAATGCAGATGTGCCAAGTTACTACATGTATGTCTGTACCAGTTATAAGACACTGCTCCTGTAACAATTGCTGCATTGTAATTTTCTACCATAACAAAATAATTTGCTTCAACACTATACCTAACCCTAACCCCTATCCTAAACCCAATTGCAACCCTAACCTTAAGCTTTGAATGAAATAAAACCTGGCGCAATTGTGGCCAGAGCAATGTAGGATCACTAACTGTAACGAAACAGATTGTAATGACCTACCATCATCACATGTGTTGAGAAGATGAGCTATCGTAAGAACAGCAAACTTGGAGAGATGATTCGTCATCTGACTTTCTTCACTCTTATCTTCTGCTGTGTTTTTAAAAAAGAAAATAAAAAGAAAACAAATTACAGTCAATCAGACCCATTATCATTAGCTTTTTACAGTACAACAAGCATGAAATCACTCACTGTCTTAACATGTTAAAGCCCATCTGTACTAGTTTGGCTAGGAGGGATAAGACCACCCAGGAAGGTCACTGACAGGTGGCTATCTCATCAACTCAGCTCTCAATTAACATAAGAAAAAGAGGACCATGGGGGACCAATCGTCACTGATTAGGCATTGTTTTCTATATAGAGGGAGCAAGTAGCTACAAGTAGTACAGTGGGCCTTTAAATACAAAGTTGCAGTTCAAATCACATGACAACCCCTGTAATGTATGGACAATTTGTTCATTTAACGGTGCTAAAGGCTTTCCAAACTGTCTTTGTTAACCAAAAAATATTACAAAAAATAAAAAAGTATTGTCTCACCATCCTCCACCTCGGCAGCAAGGTTAGAGTCGGTTGCCATGGAAACAGAGTCAGAGCTGCTCCTGAGTCTCCTGTTCCGTGGCGGCGGTGGTGGATGATGGAGTGGTTGTGATGCTGCAAGTTGCTGGACCGTGTTGGTGATGGCAGACACGGCCTCAGCCAGGTTCCGTTCGATCAAGGCTAACGATTCGGCGGTGGACTCCAAGTCTACCTCATCCCTATGAAATCAAGAGGGAGTTTAAAATTGACAGTCGAGGCTAGGGGGGTGTTTTACAAAGATCCTAAGTTGAACTTAACAATTCAGGAAAGCCGTTAGCAACTATGAAAATATTTTGTAAAAGTTATTTTGAACGGCATACAATGTTGATTCAAATCATTCATATTTTCTATTATCAAGGAGATTTCATGTTCTTGATAAAAAGTCTAAAATACTTGAATTTTTGGCTTTTGAATGTATTTCATTTTAAGGCTACAAATGGCTCTCCATAATTTTTAAGTCCAACTTAGAGATAAGTTTGACTTAGGATCTTTGTGAAACACCCCCCCCCCCCCACCCAGGAGGGGTTTAGTGTCTATGACAAAACCTTGGATAAAAGGGCAGAAAGGGCAGTAATGATATCATTATCAGACACTCACAGGTTTAAGTCTAAAAGGTGGTGCACAGAGACCTCACCAATGCGCTGGCAGTATAACAAGGAAATAACTTAATTGGCATTTTTTTTAAATCAAGCCCTAATTGTACAAACTGGACTATGCGTTCAAATATTAATTTAAATTCTGCACTCTGCTCTCGAGGGCAACCTGATACAATACAATACAATCTGGACCGTATCTCCAAAAATTAATACATCACAAGAAATTAATCATATCAAATCAATAGCTAGAAATACTTCAAAATACTTAATTATGGTACAGCATTACAACACAGGGTACAGTTTCATGAAACCGTGATATGTACAAGTTCACTGACATCCCATTGTAAGTGTGTTAAATTTAATTAACATGTTTCAATGGGTTGTCAGCAAACTTGCACTTATGATTATTTCGTGAAACGCTGCCCTGAAGTATATACTTTTAAATTGGAAAACTGGAAAACTACAACATAAAAAACATTTCCTGAATATATTTAGATAAAAATGGTATATATTTGAGGTTCTTACAAAGGATCATCTCCGAGTCCCAGTGCACTTGGAATGGCTCGACTATGTGGTCTGGATAAAAATAGGCTGTATGAAAAACAAGAAAGAAAATCCAGTAATTATATATTTATCAGAGAGTAAAACTGTTGAGAGTTCACTTTAACACAGTGAGAAATATTAACCACAAAGAACGATATTCTGAATTACTGTACATATTTCACAAAGGAAATGAGACATTAAAATACATCTTATACTACACACATGTAGTATAAAGCTCATATGATTTGTTGTTTATCATGAGGAATTGTCCACCAAGTGGTCAAGGTAATACAATGGTTCAAACACTGATGAAACATTCCTTTGGCTCCCCTTATATCATATTCCTGCACACCTCATGCACCTGTAATTTGGATCTCGCTTAATTACCATTGATGTATGAAATTGCATGTTCTTGATTGATGTACTTTTACAAATTTGATGTTATAAATAGATGGAATCTAAATAAAGTGAATTGAATTAAATTGTATTGAATAACATGTCCTTGAATAGACTGATTTACATGTACATTTATATTCTTTTCAAGGAAACAAGCACTTGATATTGAACGGCATACTTGTTTGAATCGATCATTACAATGGTGCTAAATAGGTACTTTATATTGTCAATTTAGAACTCTGTGTTAAATGATACGAGTTTTGGCTCTCAGCTGGCAATGTGTGATCTAGTTTAAAGACTGCTAACTGGAAAAAAGAAATGAGATTGATATATTAAAGGTACTATTTCCCATTTGCAGGCCAAAAAATGAAAAAGTTAAATTCCAACTGCATTTGAAAGATAATACTAATTTAGAACTTCCCTAAAAAAGGTGGGGCTTGAAAATGTCTTCAAGTGTGAAAATAACGACTATTGGTTGTCAGATAGACTTTAGGGCGTTAGAGCCCAAAAGTAATAGTCTTGATTTTCAGACAATTGTACCGAATGGTCATACGTTTTATACTGCGCAAAGATTCAATCAGTTTAATCTGGGCCATCACAAGAAGTGGGTTATTGATGTAGACAAATGCTCATGTACCCTTTACAACTCTTTTCATGTATGTTATTACCAAAGAAGAAAAAAAGCCAGTCAGTCACTCAATAGTGTCTGACAGTGAAGTCTAGCAAGTAAACGGGTTTCCTTGCATAATTTGAATATAAGGACACTGCTAACGTTTAAATTTCACAGATAGGACATACATGACATATTCATAATTCCTGAGTTCAAAGTTCTACAGAATTTGAGGTTGGCTGCAAAAGGGACATAGTACCTTTAAAGCAGGTGGTCTTTACGTACAAGTTAATTTTGTACAGGTTTCAGTCAAAAACATAGTCAAACGAAACAAACCAGGTCTTGAATTCTCGCTACCCCAAATAGCGATTCTGCCGAGATCCGGGGAAAATCCTGAAAACGCGCATTGCATTATGGGATAGCTTTTCGACATTACAGCTTCCTGTGCAGGCGTTCGTGATCACAACCCTCTCTTTCACGGTAGAGTTTAACGGCCTTTTGTGCTAAAGTCACTAATTCTGCCCGAAGCTTTCCATTGCATATTATAATCTGTACAAATTACACTGATTGGCATCGATTTTAGCGTGCGTGAAAACTCTGCACAGCGAACACAGGCGCTAGCGCCAGCGGGATGGGACTCTATACCGGAAGTTGTAGTGACGACCCGAGAGAGTGAAAATTACCTCGTCTCGCGAATTTCGAGATTTTCGTACCTATTTAGGGTAGCGAGAATTGACAGGTGTCCTTTATATACAGGTGGTTGCTACAACAGGCTTGTCAGTATGATGACCAACATTATAACAAACATCACTCTGAATTTTGGTCTTAACCATTATCAGGTATAAACTCTCTGGATTAAAAGAATACCTTGCAGTGTCCACCGAGTCATCCGTTCTGTATCCAGCCCTACTGACCGGTCTACTGCCCATCCTAGTGATGGGGCGACTGCCCACTTGACCCTGCTGCTGAGTGGACAGTATAGCATTCAGCCAGAAGTTGACCAGACCATTGAGAAGGTTGACCACTGCAGCTACGGTGTCAGCAGTCAAGAGAACTGACCTGTAGTGGTCTGATGCAAAATGGGAGAAAGGAAAAATGACATGGTGAAATATTTCCAAAGTTTTTACAGTTTGGCATTAATATATCACAAAAAAATGAATAAATTGGCATGGTTCAAGTTACAAGTGATGATCAATGATGGATGTTAATGATACAGTTTAATATTTTTTGTAAATCTTGCAGCAATTATGTAGCTAATATCTTTCACTGTGTTTGCAGAAAAATATGACTCTTCTCTTCTTTCTTTGTTTTCAAAGTACATATAAAGAAATGCTCTTGATATAGAAGCCATTATTCCAAACAAAAGGAATTTTACCGGAAAATATCCCAAATTGTTATTAATTTTCTTGGATATCTTGCTGAATTTTTCAATTTGCATACCTGTAGACCTTTTTTTCTCCATAGTATCTGTACCTCAAATATAAATAAAGAATTCCATGTTGGTGTGGTTCCAGGGAAGTAGACTTACCATACATAGCTAGGACCCTCAGCACTCTCAAAGCTCCATGGGAATGGGCCACGGCAAGCGGTTCTGACTTGAGCTGATCAACACCTTGTTGAGCAAAGTAACTACAAGGAAAGCAGAAGATGCACACATCAATGTACTCTAATTGTGTACTTATTTTTTATTTATATCCGTGTTTCCATATGAATATGTCATTGTACATTTGCTACTGTGTATTATCTATTTGTGTATATTATTTTCTATTGTATATTGTTCATGTGCTTATGTCAATGCCAACAACTGAATTTCCAAATGGACCAATAAAATTAATCTGAATCTGAATTCGACTTATTCATTTATTTCTGTTTGGAGAATAGCGTTGAAAAGAGCCATACTAAAGCTTTTTGACTTGCACTCATCAGAGTAAAACGCAAGAATGAAACAGAAAGCCGAAATTGATCAATACAAATGGAAAATAAAAGGAACAAGGCACGAATATAACGAGCACTGATTGGCTGTCTAAGGTGACTGTAAATTAGGCTTATTGCCAGCCGGTTATACTGGGATAATCGCTAGTTATACCAGGGTAAAATGTCTAAGCACCATGAGCATCACAGTGTGATGGAAATTAGCGATATACAAGAAGATATTATTAAAAGGTACATGCATGACCATTCTCTAAAGTACAAACTCACTTCACCATTGCGACGAGTTGGTCCACAACAGCTTGACATTCCAAGACCTGGTTCTTCTGGGACTCGTGCCGGACCAGGACCTCTAGGAGTTCTAGATCCGAGACCCGGTTGATCGGACTGTTGGCTGGGACCGCCATGATGCGATGGAGTAGGGGAAGAAGGATCAGAGTCCGAATACGCTGATTCACCACCAGTGCTGTGTTTGGATAACATCACAAGAAGTCTGACATAAAATAATCATAATAACAATCCTATTTTAGATTAATTATAATAATATTCTGCTTTTTATATAGCGCACAATACAACGATGTGCCTAAGCGCTGTACAGATATATTATTACCCTGGTCATTGGATTCAGGCTTACCCGCATACAATGTATGCATATTTTCCACTCCCTGGGGAGCATTCCAGCCAGTCGCCAATTCAAAATCGCACACTTGTTCATCCGACCAAATGAACTTTCGCATCCTACCGGGTACCCATTTAACACATGGGTGGAGAGTAGCAAGTGCAGGTATATATCTTGCCAAAGGATATTAGTGCCGTGCCGGGATTCGAACCCTCGACCTTAGCATCTCCAATCAAGCGCCTTAAACCACTCGACCATGACACATCATACAACATGTACTGCTTTGTATCATTATTATGGAAAAAGAGGTGAACACCAATGAATCCCCATACAATGTCCATCCATCCTGGAACATTTTTGAATGTACATGTATCCAAGGCTACTCCAAAGATTTCACTAAAATAGTGGTAATTGTGCAAATGAAAACTGACTATTTTGATTGGGTGGCAAGGGGCTAAAAATGGGAGATGGCTGATTGTCATGCTTATCATAAAATTTTAAACAACAATATAAGCTATGCTTTTTATTTAGGCTCCCCATATTTTACACTGTTTTTACCTTGCCTATCATATCATTTGAAACTTCATACATTTTCCGTACATTATACTCGATTTGAAATCTTTAATATTTTTTTTGTGTGCGTGTGTGTAATCTACTCGATATAAGCTTGTTTTTAAAAAAAAATTGTTTTTAATTGTTTTTTGATGTAAATGTGGAATAAATAAACTTCAAACTTCAAATATTTGGGATAGGTTCGAACCTACCCATCCAACAAATACAATATTTGAGAAGGCATAAAATATGTTAATGTTGCCAAACTGAGCACATACCTCCTGAAACTTGAAGCTGGACAGCGATCGGTTCTTGGTTCTTTGAAATGTGCATCACATCCAACTCACAGTCTGCATCTACATTGGCTACGATGCAGCAAGATTGACCCTGGTCCAAGTCTAGAGGGTCTGAGGTCACCACTCCAGACTTGGAATAGATCTTGAAACGAAGACGGTTCTCAAGAGCTACATGTGAACAAGATTTTAAAAAGATATGTTTTAAAGCCCATCTGCACTAGTTTGGCCAGGAGGGATTAGACCTCCTGCAAGGTCACCGACAGGTGGTTATCTCATCAAATCAGCTCTCAATGAAAAAAAAAATTAAAAGCGGATCATGGGGGACCAACAGGCACGATTAGGCATTGTTTGCTATATAGAGGGTGCAAGTAGTTATAAATAGTGTAGTGGGGTTTTAATACAATATCATCATGCAATAACAATATCAGTAGGTAGGACCTGGTCAGAATCCAACATCTCCAGAATAAGTGTGCTCGACTATCAAAAACCGAAAAGGTCCCACGCTACTCCATTGTTGAATGAACTTCACTGGCTCCCAATTACTGAAAGAATACAATACCAAATACTTGTTAACACTTTTATATCTTTGTAAACCAAACTTCCTCTATATATCTCCTCATTCTTTAAGCAGCAGCAAGTATCATATTCACTTTGATCTACTTCAAATCCTTCCTTTCCCATTCCCAAATCTCCAAAACAGACAGGATTCACAAAAAATAGAGAAAACTGAGAGCTCAAATAAGATGCCGAGTCATGTATGGGCAGATGACCAGACTTCTTATTCGACAGAGAATAGATGATACCATAAACTCCCTTACTAGTGAAAAAGCTCATTTTCTCTCAACATTTCCACAAGCAAATGAAATCACTGTCTCTTACCTTTCAAACAGAGAGGAGCTTGTGGTCCGTTGATGGTGAAGATGACCATGTTGCGTTCGCATGTCCTCTTGGACTGCTGATCTAGGATAGGTATGTTGGATACCTTCCTGATCAAGGAAGCGAGGTCATCTTCATTGCTGGGTGTGTAATGCCAAACCTGAAGTTTCTTCGACAGCAGTGTCTCCCACATGGTGATGTTGATCTAATAACAATAATGATAATAATAATAATCATAGTATAGTCATATTTACTCAATGTAGCCTCGTAGATAATGGTGGTGGTGGGGGTGGTGGTGGTGGTTATTTTACCTGACTGCTAAGGCATAAATGTTTGATAGTAAGCAACCAGAGAATAGTAATAATACTTTTTCAGGGAGCCCTGCAATTGTTATTAATCCCAGCACAGCCAGGTACCCATTCAATACACATGAGTACACAGGGTCAAAAGTGGGTAAAACACCTTGTTCAAGCATAGAGTCAACAAACATTGAAACAAACCCAATACAAGAGAAACCAAAGAGAGTCAAGCACCTTCGCCAATATCCCATGGTACTCCTACTATAGGATCAATACACAGTACCTCAGAACAACTGCAGTATTACCCCTAACAAATTAGTAAACAAAACCTTGACAACCACCCTAACCCTGAACCCAATCCTAGCATTACCCTCAACTTAATCCTTATCCCAACCCTACATTGCACTGTGCTCAGGATGGTCTTCTGCAGTTAAGTCATTATTCGGACAATTTTAAAGCCTGTCTGCACTAGTTCGGCCAGGGGGATTAGACCTCCCTGCAAGGTCACTGACAGGTGGTTATCTCATCAAATCAGATCTGAATTAACATAAGAAAAAGAAGATCATGGAGACCAACAGGCACCGCTTATGCATTGTTTGCTATATATAGAGGGCGCAAGTAGCTATAAGTAGTGCAGTGAGGCTTTAAAGCTTAAAATACACATGTCTTTCATATTTCTATTCACATAATGCTTTGCAAAGGAAGAGATGAATAAAACACATAATGTGAGTACGCACCCCAGGATGCGTTAGCTGCAGGGTCTTCTTCTCAATCACTACGGTAGCAGAGTCCCTCTCACACCGAACATACACATGAATGGGCTCATCTGAAAAGCGAGAAGAAACACAATGAATGAACAGAGGCAGACTACCGTATATGTCATTAAGTAACATACTGTGACCCTAAAATCTATTCAGTTCATTGGTTCTGCAAGATACATACATGACCCGAGTTTGGCAGGAATCCATCAAACAGTTCTTCAGATAACACGATCACAAGAACGGGACGTCCAGACGTACAGACAACCCCAAAACATAATTGTGTGTATGTGTGTGGGTGTGCAGAAAAATCCCACAACTGTAACACCAGAAACTTTCATAATGGAAGCTAACAGAAGAAATACTTAAAACACAACCATCTCTATTGCAAGAAACTATTGCGAATAGCAAAAATGCAGTGTGTTGTTTGAATAGATTCAATCATTTGGTAGCATGAAACATTCACACATCTTAACCGCTCATAAAAATCACAAGCATTCCATTCCTTTCTGGTTTTACTTCACTGAAACTCTGATCATAATTCAAATCCGAATAACGATGCATTTTCCTTTATTGATATTTGCACTATAACTATCAGGTCAGGGGCATGCATTGCATACCTGCCAACATTTGAAAATAAGAATTAAGAATTTTTAGCATGGTATGCCTTCGAAAATAAGAAATCGCACTTGCAGCGGCAGCGTAACTGCCAATACGCGGTAAATCTGTACCAAAAAGGGAATACAACTTCGCTGCTCGATTATGCAGCCATTCAACGCACACAATACGTAAACTCTCAAATCACGGCACATGATAAAACAAGCTTAATATGGCTTTAGCGCAAAAAAAAAAAAAGGTCAGGACCTAGAAAACCAGAAAAACAAAATATTCTGGATTAATCGTAAGGGTTGGCAGGTATGGCATTGCATTCCATACTAGGGCTGTATCTTACTTACCTAGTACTGCCATCATGACCAGTGTTTTGGCTGCCATGGTAGTGATCTGACCGTTCTCATGGTCACCTAATGACAGGTCAATCAGGGTCTTTAACCCACCGGAAGCCAGTATTTCCACTTTCACTGCATCTGAAATGGGAACAAAGAAGGGTATAAACCTACAAAAGATTACAGAACACTGTGAAGTTCTGCGTGTAACTTGACAATAATTGGTTTTTCTTCTTTCTTTAGTATTTTTTAATATAGGATATCTAAACTATATAAACTAAACAAAAATTGTCATCAGTGACAAATGACAGTTTGTGTTATAAGCTACTGAAATCCTTGCTTCTGATTGGTTATCAGCAGATTTGTCACTGATTTTTGTCATTTTGTCATTGAAAAAAAGCTTTGTGAAACAGGCCTCAGGACTTAAATAGGGAGAAGGAGACTTCTACCTGATGTCATGGCTAGATTCAAAAGCAAGGCCGATGCCCAGAAGACCAGGTCTGGGTCATGAGACTGGGCCAGGCTCAGGATCATTTCTAAGGCCCCAGCTCGGACCAGCCGATGGGGGAGCTGTTCGCACCCGCAGAACAGTCCAAGGGTCTCGGCCAGGAGGCGTAGCATCATGTTATCACGGGTGGTGGAGAGCGAGAGGAGGGACTTGATCAAAGCGTCGTTGGTGTAATCCAGAAGTTTCTCCAATGCCTGGCGACCTGAGAGGGGAAAACACAAAATCTTACAACAAATGGCGACTGGCTGGAATGCTCCCCAGGGAGTGGAAAATGTGCATACATTGTGTTGCGGGTAAGCCTAAATCCGATTACCGGAGTAATAATATGGGCTGCGCCTAGAAACAAAGTATTAGGGGCATTATAAATGTGAGCTTTTATCATTATTATGAGAGCACTTTATTTCTTGAGGTCACCAAGTGTAAAGTTTGTCCCTCCATTCATTCCCAACTTACTACATATGTAACACTTAAAAATTAATGAGTAATAAGGAAGTTTTTATATATCAGTTAGCACTGAAACATCTACTTTGGATGCTACTAAAAGAACCAACAAATATATACAAAGACTCCAAAGCAGACTATACATGTTTACATTTTCTGATTGGTAAATTTACTTTAGAATATATATAATATGTGAAATCCAACACATGATAATTCTGATTTTTAGAAGGTTTGACATACAAGATCAAATTGTCTGAGTACACTAAGGTTCAAGTTTAAATGAGCTTAATTGCTTGAACAGATATCAAATGATCTAAGGTTAAACATACCGGTACCCATAATAGCCAAATTATTCAATAGTACCAAAAGGAATCAGGTCTTTTGTTCCTACTACCTTTACCAATCCAATAAACTCTCAATGATCCAAGCTAAAACTTACCCATCATAGCTAGATCATGAACCAGTACCAAAGCCCAATGCACTACATCTTTGTTTCCACTCGCTAGGCAGGTAGGTAGGTGACTAATCAATGCCTTGTTCTTCATGAGCTCTCTTGCAAAGGGATCTAAGGAGTTAAAGTATCAACATGAAATAACCAAAGAGTGATTATTTTTGTTTGTGGGGGGAGGGAGGCATGTTTACAAAGTGTATAGGACAGCTACCCCTTAGAGGAATTAACCCAAATTTATCTTCATAGTAACCTAGGGGTAAATTTTTATATTTTGGGGTAGTTTGCTGGAGAGGAAGAAGAGGGCCTTGTTGTGATAGAGGTAGTTTTCCAGTAGCTGATTGTCTTGCAGTAATAGCTTAGAGCTAGTTGTCAATGATTCAATTTAGGGATATTAAGCGAATAACTACCTTTGGTGAAGGTGATGGGACAAACTATCACTTCCGAGGCGATCTGGATGTAGCTATCTTTCCGAAGCGAAGCTGAGGAAAGATAGCGTATACATTCTGATCGACGAGGAAGTGATAGTTTGCCATCGCCTGAAACCAAAGGTGATTATTTGCTTTATATTCCACATCTAAAACAATTTAACTACAAAAAGGAAAGGATGTGTATGCATCTACATAACAGACACCATGCCCAAATTCACACCAAAAAAGTTAAACAGCTTAACCCAACCCAACCCCTTGAGGGTACGGTGCGTGCATGTGTTTGTTTTAATTGCGCTCATTGGTAATGCGCACTTAATTACGCATGTTTTAGTGCGCTTTTGGATAATCTTCAGTGAAAGTGCGTTGCCCTGTGTAGATAGTAGTACTATCTACACAGTGTAACAAACTTTTTGCTTCTGCCATCAATAATGGGCGAACTATCTTTCATCACGTGATTTACTTTTGACCAATCGTAGAGCAAGATTCTTAGTATGTGGAATATAACATAATATATCCCACTATATTGGCACTTGCAATGTGCCTAATAATGTTGCGCTGTTTACATAAGAATTTAGACTAAAAACGCTTTATCATAAAAGAAAAGTATAGGGCTTGGGATGTGATTGGGTTTTAGGTAAATTTGGAGGCTAGGAATACATGTAGGTACATATAAAGTGCTGGGTCAATATTTAAAGTAAACAATTAAAGTTATGTTAGAATTGTTTTGTTTTATTTATTTGATTGGGTTAAAAACATCAACACGTAAAGTTCAGGAACTCATAATGGTTGATTCACAATGAAATTGAATGGTGTAAACAAAATTGAACCAAAAAATATACACCTAAGAAAAACCTGTTGTTTTATGCACATGAAAATGTGGTTACAATACAATATTCAACGAAAGAAGCCAGGCTATAGCAAGTCCAAAGCGAGAGATGACAAGGAAATCCAGAAGGAGAGAAATGATGAGGGAGAGAGAGAGTGGGGAGAGAAAAAAAGACAGAAAAAGGGAGGAGATAGAAAGAGAGAGGTGGAGAGAGAGAGAGAGGAGAGATCGTCGCCCAGCTGGCAGAAGGGCGCTAGCGCGCGAGCGACTCTAAACTACTTTTCGAATTATTCGCATTTAAAGATTTGTTTTGCATTTACACTGCTTTCGTCCCGAAAATTGGTTTAAAAACTTAAAAGACTAAATAGAAATGTTTTAGTAGAACACGGCCACAAATTTCTTTCAGAAATAAGTCAGTTTTATAAAAGTTTGAGGCGATTTAGTGCTAAGGCCCTTCTGCTTAGCGCTTCATTTTTTACCTGCAATTCGTGCTAACGCCCTTATGCCAGCCAGGCAACAAGATCTTTAAAAGGTGAATAAGAAACAAGGCAAAACAACGTAAAATGAGACTGCAGAACAACAGTTGAACAATATTCCTGATCCATGTTCTTACCGTTTCTGAGAGCAAGGAAGGCAAATATCCTGAGAATGAGTCTCTGAACCGCAGCTTCGCTAGCCATCAATGTCGCCTGAAGGTTTGTGACTAGACAAGGTAATTCACATAGCTCCTTCCTACAAACATCTGTAGAGAAAGGCTACAGGTGTTAAGTATTAAACACATTCATTTCCTGAAAACATCTGAAGAGAAAGACTAAAGGTATCAAACTATTCATTTCTCAAGACATCTCAAGATATAGTCTATAAGCATATTCAAAAGTACACAACACATTGTTTCCTGTAAACATCTAACGATAATACTCTATATACAAATACATAGGTCGGTTTTTCAATCATGTAAAAGGCAGACTAAATTCAGACCAGATTAAAACCAGAATACCAAACCTAGAATGTCGCCTTACATAACTAATCCAACAAAAAAAAATGTAACCATATCAAGACTAAATTGGTCTAGTACATCAAATTTACAGTAAAATTATAGTAGTTTATCAGAATAATGTCAAATATTCAAAATGGGATTAAAAATGTCAGTATAGGTTGAACTCAGTAACTGAAGAATACAAAATGTCTAAAAACAAATTACAATATAGTTGGTGGACTTACTGTGAACAGCAAACTCATGTAGTAAGGCCACTGACCAGAATGATACTTCTACATCATCTGACTTGGTAGAGACAACCATAGGGACCAGTGCATCTTGCTGAGCAATCTCATGGATGAACAGGGTTGCATCTATGGCATAGAAAGGAGAATGAAAGGAAACATGAGGAAGGTTCCTACGAGAGATTTCTTAAGAATTTTCACACAAAAAATATTTGAAGTCCTATTGTTTGAGATGAGCTGCACAATCTACTAATAGATGTACAGCAAATCATGAGAATCTTTGAACCAGGAGAAATATGACAAGCAATATCTACTGCTATATGGCCAGTGACTGTACAACCAGACGGTTTCTGCTTCATGCCTCCATGGCGTAGACATGTAGAATAAGAAGCAGACATCTCTGTCCTCCTGATTGGTGGTCTCCAGTAGGACAAAGACATTAAAGCCACATTGTCCTACTGGTAGCTACTTGCTCCCTCTATAAAGAAAACAATGTCTAATCGGTGACCATTGGTCCCCCATGATCCTCTTTTTCTTATGTTAATTGAGAGCTGAGTTGACGAGATAATAGACAGATGGCACTCATTGGATAAGGTCACATTTTCTTGCTCGTCTCGAAGTCTCCAAAATTTTCTTTAAAATTTGGGACTTTGGAAATATGAAACTGGAATTCTGATTTTACCACCTAAATATTCAACATTCAGAGATTCTACACAGCAATGTCTGGACCCGAAGGCGATCCCGGGTACATGAACTTGAGGACTCGCAAACACCCTTCAAGCGCAAAACCCAAACCTACCACGGAGCCACGTACTGCTACCAATAGGAGTCCGCCAAACTCCCGCCCGGGAAGCCCGACAAATTCACATTCATGAAGCCTGGTTAACGGGACGATGTCCATGCTACAGGAATGTGAACCCATTGTGCCGGCTACTACCAACAGTGAAGACGTGGAGCTCTCCAGGAATACTGCAGCTGGGTCGGACCAGATCAATGTCGTCGATAACCCCTCACCAGGTCTACCTAATTTAGATAACTTCTTCAAAGAGGCATCTGTAAAAGTTGAAAAAATGATCAGAAGCGCGGTGGATAATTTCAATGCAAAGTTGAAGGATCTTGAAGCCAATATGGAAGCCTCGTTGGAGTTGAGCGTGAACGTGTTGATAACCTGGAAAAGCAAATCGATGAAATGAAAAAGGAAATATCCACCTTCAAAGTTAGATTGATAAGTATGAAAGTGATGCAAATAAAAATGAGTGTTCCTCCATGTGAAATAACATTTGCCTTGTAGGAATCCCTGAGCCTCTGGAAGGTCATCATGATGATTGTATCCAGATAGCTGTAAACATCATTCGCACCCATTTCAAAATAGAAAGCAGAGATGAGCGCGCCCACAGAGATGGGAAAAAGGTCGAGGATAGACCATCCCATGTCCTGATGAAGCTGCTATCTTATCGAGATAAAGTAAACATAATGCGGAAACATAGAAAGGCTCTGAAAGATAAGAATTTCTTCAATATGGATGACCACACGCCCGTCGACCTGTGATAGAAGCAAAAAAGGAGCTAACAAGTCCGAGATCTCTAACCACCTGTGCAGTGACCTTGCAGAGTGGTCCAATCCCTCCTGGCCAAACTAGTACAGATAAGCTTTAAGTGTCAGGAAGCTTCATAACAGAACAAATTTTTATTACAAAAAAATTATTAATAAAAAAACAGTTCTTGTGTGTAATATCCCATTACATTTAGATAGCAGCAGATTCAATTCATCTTTGGATATAAACTTAAATTTTTAAGGAGCCAAAAACCTTAAATCATGAGTGATTTTTCAAATACAATTACAAAGAACATCAAAAGGTCGAAAGCATTACTTTTTCTTCTCTTGCTTTTCTTTGGCTTGCATACAAAAAGGAAAATACTTTAAAAAGTGCTATCAAAGAAGGGAGAAAGATATTCATGCATACGGTAATTACAAATAGTTTATGTGGTAAGGGCCTGAATAGTTTCCATCTCACCTGTGCTTTGTGCATTAGTCAAAGTGACTAAGAGCTGGTAGCAAATCTTCTGTAGCATGACATCACCATGATGAAACACACTCTTCTCTCCAATAATCCTAAAGGCATCTACACTGGCACAATTCTTTCCTGCAAATATAAGACAGAATATTACAATTACAGTAGTATAATAGGCTGGTTAAATGTTATTATTTTTAATCAATATGACTGCATAAAATTTTCAACAATTTGAAAGTTGGGTAGGATAACAAAAAAAGATAATGTATTTTACAAGTATAACAAGATTTAACGCACATAAAACTTTAAAAACATTTTTGATTAAATACACTTTCAAATGATGATCATTTTGTAATCGTATCAGTCTATTTTGACATGTCAATTTTGTTGATTATGTATCATCTTTTATATTGACAAAATGTATTGATTGTTCTATGTGCATTGGGTGTCATTACAGAAAGAAACATAATGTGTGCTTTACATATCTACAGACATTATTATCATTAAACTTAATTACACGGTCTAAGAATTTTAACATAATGACCTTGAGAGATTACACACTACGGCCCGAATTCACAAAGCAAGGTTTGAGCTCAGACCAAGGTTTGAGCTCAAACCCCCTTTTGTTTCGCCAAACCTCCTTTTGTTCTTTTCAAACCAGGTTTGTAAAAAAACGCGTAAAACGCGTCATATGGCGTACGAAAACCAAGGTTTGTCGACAAACCTCCTTTGTGAATTCGGGCCTTTAAGTCTTCATACAAAATGGATTATGAATGGATAAATGAAAGTACCTTGCATTGTCATCTGTAGAAGTAAGAGCAGAGAGTACCTCTGGACCTCCTTGTTCCTTGATTTCTCCAACAGTTCCAAGACGATGATGGCCAGATCTTTGCTCTTCATCTGCTCTAACTTGGACAGGAAAGCTGGTAAAAGGAGGTTAAGGATAACAAGAATTTGTCTTTAATAATCAAAATAATACATATAATATTGTTATTGTCATGTACATGAATATTATCATTATTATTATTATTGTAATTATCATTATTATTATTATTATTATTGTTATCATTATTATTCTTATTTTATCATTATCATCATCATCATCATCAACATCATCATCATTTTTACTATCATTATCTCATTATTATTTATCACCATCATTATCATCATCATCATCACCAGTATCATCATCATCATCGTTATTATTATAATTATTATAATTACAATCTAACATCATTATTATCATTGATACACAGATTTAATGTACCTGGATCCGTGGATAGATCATAGATGGTAGCCAGCGTCATGCGTTGCATTCTATCAGGGAAGTCTACATCAGGTATATGGGTGCGATAGTGAGTCCATCTATCCATGGAGGAGGAGAGGGTGGTCACTAGGGTCTGGAGGATGAAGAGATCAACCTGGAATACTCTCTGGTCAACTGGCAACAAAAAAGAAAAAGGAGGTACAGGGGGGTGTTTTTTACAAAGATAAAAAGTCGAACTTAACTCTAAGTTGGACTTCAATATTATGGAGAGCAATTTGTATTTTGTAGCCTTTAAATAAACAATATTCAAAAGCAAAAATTGAAGTATTTTAGACTTTTCATAAATTCCACATCAAGAACATGAAATCTCCTTGATAATAGAAAATATGAATGATTTCAATCAACATTTTACGCTTTTTAAAATAGCTTTTACAAAATATTTTCAAAGATGCTAATGGCTTTCCATAATTGTTAGTCCAACTTAGGATCTTTGTGAAACACCCCCTGCAGGTTTAACTGTCACTCTGTTAAAGGTAATTTGTCACATTTGCAGCCAACAACAAAGTCTGTAGAACTTTGCAGGAATTATGAATATGTCACGTATGTCCTACATGTACATGTATCTGTAAAATTTAAACGTTTAAACTATTATTCAAATTATGCAAGGAAACCTGATTATTTTCTGACTTAAATGTCAGGCAATATTGAGTTACTGACTGACTTCTTTTTTTTCTTTGGAAATAACATACTGTAAATAAAATGAGCTGTAAAGGGTACATGAGCATTTGTCTACATCAATAACCCAATTCTTGTAATGGCCAATATTAAACTGATTGAATCTTTGCGCAGCACAAAACATACAATCATTCGGTACAAGGGTCTGAAAATCCGACAATTACAAAAGGATTGCAATCACGAAAGTCAAATTGACAACTAATGGTTGTTATTTTCCCACTTAAAGACATTTTCAAGCCCTTTCGTTTCGACGGAAGTTCTGAATTAGTATTATCTTTCAAATGCTGTTGGAATTTAACCTTTTCATTTTTTGGCCTGCAAATGGGACATACCCTGTAAGGTAAAGTTAATTTACAAATGGAACGACATTTCATACACTGGTACAAATATTCAATGTCAATCTAGACATGGGATGAAAAACCATTGCAAAAGAAAAACAGGAGTTGTGAAAACCTAAGAGCCAATATTCCCTTCCATTTTTTTTTTCATCACTTGGATATGTGTCAATTACTTGTACTCTTTAAAACAAAATAAAGAAAAATAAACAAAGAACGAAAGAAACATTAGCATGTCCTCAAAAATATCTTTAAACCCATTAAATTTCATTTAAAAACCTAATGATGAATCACCTTGACTGGTCTGTCTTGGCAAATTCTCTACACTTTAAAAAATAAATTGTAATTCATAGTTTTACAATAACTAAAGAGAAAAGTGATGGTGAATGGAGAGTAAGAAAATGAGTCGAAGAAGGCAGACTTTGAGAAAAAGAAAGACGAAGACAGATATTTACCACTTTTTAGGATAACACAGAGGGCTGTGCATGCCTGAAGTGCCTTCTCTTCATCACTGCTCCTGCAAGATTTCAAGACATACAGAAATGCTTCTCCTGCCAAAAAGTACAAAAGAGAGATATCAAGATACCATTTTAAAAAAGATTACTCTTTGAATCTTCTCTTAAAAGATAAATGAATGATCGAATAACTCAATTAATAAACATATAAATAAACAAATGAATTAATTTATTAATACTGTCCTCTGCAGTATTCCACAAGCAAATTCTTTGACATTAAATTCTCAGTTTTACATCACAATTATCACCATATCACCTCCATCTGACATTTTGCACACTATTGCTGTTAAAACAGAATTAGAAATGAAATAAAATGGCAATCATTTATAATATCTTAATAATTATAAAAAAGTTGCATATTATCATATTTTCAACATTAATAGGTTTTGGAAGAAATATTTGGTAGAAACTAGATACATTTTTGTTTTTTAATCTCATGCTATATGATGAAAAAAGAGTCAACACAATTTCCCACAATATGATTTAATAACAAAAAGTTATAATTTCTTCAAAATTGGCGAACGGAAACTTGGCCTTTCTCTTCCATTATATTTCCATAGAAACTTACGTTTTGTTATTCTATCAAGCAGCATTTGTTCAGCACTTTGTCTCAGCCCTACATTGGAGGATTTGGCCAACTCTGAAAGAGCTTCATTCGAGATTGCTGAAAATAAAATGGTATACAATAGTCAGCTTCCTGCAAAATTTCCACAAAGAAAAGAGAATGTATATGTATTCCAGGGCTGCCAACCTTTGGAAAGAGTTTTGAGTGAGACATTGCGAGGGCGCGAAGCGCCTGAGGGTGAGATGGTGTGGAAGGGGGGTGTCCCCCCTTCCACGGTAGGGAGCTTTTACAATTTTGCAATTGAAATGGTGCAATCTGGTGCATACTTTAACCCTGATTCCACAAATACATAAGGCAGGATTCAAATAGGTTAATTGATTTCATGAAGTACACTGACCATGAAAAATACAAACTTCCACAGTCGAAGAGGGCTAAAGAGGACGGCCCAGGCCCATTATCCGATCACAAACACTGAGCAACCCGGGCAGGGCCGGGCTGGGGGCCGGGCGCGATGTACAGCGATGACAGACCATGGCATCGACACTCGCTTGTCGTGTCTCGCACAAAAACCCCGCTTCATAGTAAAGTGACGATGTCACTCGCACATGCAGGATAAGCCAATCGCAATTCACTATCTTGTCTTTGCGCGGCAAACCGAAACCAATTTGCATTGATGATTTAGCTTTGCGCATGTTTGGTTAAAAAAATGTTGAAACTTTCGGCAGGGATATTGAATATCCAATATAATAGACATTTTTTTTTGTTTAGTTTCTATTTTCGGGGTTCAGCGTGAGAATTCCTATGATCAGCGTGAGAGCGTGAGAATTGGGTGAATTGCGTGAGACTCACGCAGATTGCGTGAGAGTTGGCAGCTATACTATTCCTCTATTACACACATACATTGTCTGCTTTCATCCCCTTTTCATTTAATGAGTGTCATGGGTGCATGTAGACCGAAAGCTTCAGTCTCTCTAATCGTCGGTTGTTCCACTGAGACTACGTCTGGCTCCACTAGACCTCCGATTATAGAGACTGAAGTCTGGGGACCTCTTTCTGTGAGGCACCGTACGGAACAAATGGTTCGGTTCGACCGGACCGCGATGAATGAGATATGCAACGAGATTTTCACTCTTTACATCCTCATACATGCTGCAATATGACAATAATTTAGAGTCTAATTAAAAATATCATATATATAGCTTATTTGACTTACGATAGCTTGCTCATTTAGATCCTAAATTAATGATTAATCCGAGAAAGTCTCGTCGTCAACATTATCCGTCTTGGTTTTAGTTGATGAATATTCATTTTTTCTTTTCGAACGTCCAATAGCTACCGTAGCTACGTACGAGTCGGCCCAGCTTGACCAACGAACTCCCACGAAACGAGTGCTCTGATTGGCCATTTGGCTATGTTTTGGTAGGTGGACCCGGAAATATATCGGCCGCCGGGTAATATTTCGAATGCATGAACGTACCGTTTCACAGTTCGGAAATACAAATTGGATAATTCATATAAGTAAGTCCGTAAATTATACATTTAATATTAAGTTATCAAATTTTGATAACTGTAATTAGGACAAATGACATACCGACCTAATTTACATCTGATTTAGAAATCAGAAAATTAGATCTAAATAAAGAAAATCGGGGAGAAAATGTTTTGACACAAAAAGCTGCCATTGTTGGCTATAGCTACCCCCACGGTACGAGATCTCTGGGTTGCCATCTGTATTGGGGAATGACAACAATTGTCAGTTTTATTAAAGAAATGACCCAAATCAGATGGTTATTGCTGTCTAGGGTGCATGTAGAATAATTCAATTTTCACGCTCCAGTTTCTCTTGTTTCATTGTTACAGTATAACACACGTATAAGGTATAGTTTTTTTTCAAAATCTAGCGCACATCGTGCGTATAAGCATTTTCAGACCCTCGAAATGCGTGATATCACGCCTTATGGTATGCGTGATACTTGGTAGATCTAGCTCTGTTGTTAAATTGATTTTCCATCACTCAGTCTTAATCATCTCACTTGATCGAGTCATAAATGATTAAGACTAACTCATTTAATCAGTGCAATGCTAATATCAAATATGAATGAAATACCTAGGCCTAGCCTATTCGGTCATATTTCTATGATAAAGTAAAAACTTACCATCCTCAATCCTCTGTTCCAAGTTTCTACTGACGACCTGACGCAGCCAACTCCGTAGGTATTTCACCAGAGCGAAACCAGCCATTCCGACCCCAGCAGTTCCGCAGAGAATGACAACGCAGCTCCGCAGAGTCATCGCGGGCGATTTAGATGCCATAATTGTCTGATTAAAAGTGCATGATTGAAATAGATTGGATTAATTCAAATGCTCAGACACTTTGATTAATTTCCATTCCCTCAGTGGCTAAAGTGCCTTCGACTTTAGGATTGTAATGATATGGTAAATCGTCAAGATTGATCTACGAAGCACCGTTTCGAAATTCGAGTTCAGCGCCATTGATTTCCAGATCCGCGACTACTTTGATTTTCGCTGCTTCTCAAATATTTCGAACCATGCGTATTTTGGAATAGATGGGAAAAGTCGAGCGAAAGGTCTAATACAGGGATTTCTCCAGAATTAAACATCGCGCCCAAAATTTAGAGACAGGTAAAAGCTCATTTCTACTTTATTTTGGATTGTTTATTTATTATAATAACAAAATACTATAAAGAAATATACAGGAAATACCTTAAAGTGAAAATGTGATAAATAGCGTATTCCTTCATCTGATAATCAGTGGCAAATCTGATGACGGTTGTTGTGTCGTTTGCGGTGGTTGGAGAGTGTCCCTTGTGTTTGTACACAAAGCCAATAATGGTAAAATTTTGAATGCTTGTAATAATGACAGTGGTAATGGCAAATCGTGATCTGATGAAGTGTTTCGATGTTGACTGAATGAAAGCGGGAGTCACTATTCTTTTGATGTTGTTACTTAATAAGATGGAGTATACATACTTACTAGTACTAGCTACTCATTTGACCTTGAAGTTCAAGCTTCTTCATTGATACCTGATCGGTATGCAAGCATCGTTACTGCAATACCGGGCCGGGAAAAAGGTCTCGGACTGGATTGTTGCAAACTTTCTTGAGCTGACAAATTAATAAAGGATAAAAAAGTTAAAGTTTTGAATAACTTAGACCGAATACTCTTATTAACTACTGATCAAGTCAGTGCCATGTATGCATATGGGCATGGAAAACTATGGTATACAAATTACAATGTACAAAAGTTAAAACTATAATATAAAAAAAAAATTCAAACTAGGCCTATTCAAAAAATTTGAATTGGTATTTGTTTTTTAGTACTGATTAACGATTAAAGTCCAACATTTTTGTTCACGCAAGGAAACCTGGTACCGCGTACCGGATAATTGTGATCATCCCCCCCCCCCCTCCCCCTCTCTCATTCTAAACAGATATATACGCTACTTGATCCTAAACACTATTTCAGTGAATAACGTTATGCCAATAGACCCTAGTATAATTTTGGTTGGTTTATCTCGTTCCACAGATATCTTTGGCTTCATGAAGGATCAACACATCAACATCTCCACACCCTGAAGGCTCACCATGGCATCTATGTCGTTTAAGGTCACGCAGGGTGACAATGGAAGCCACATATATAAGGCTCTCAACCATAGCAGTAAAGCCCTGGAGATGCTTGCCCAGTGTTGGCGCCAGTACCCTAGTCTCTGTGACGCCATCATCAGTGTCCAAGACCTGCAGTTCAACGCCCACAGGGCCGTCCTGATGGCCTGCAGCGATTTCTTCCGCGACATCTACCAGGCACTTCCTGCGGGAGGTCGCAACCCGGACCTGCTTCGGAAGAGCATTTGCCTGTCCAAGCTGGCCCCTGCGTCCTTCCACATGTTCCTGGAGTTTGCATACACAGGGAAGCTGGATCTAAGCATGGGCACGGTGGAGATGTGGCTGGAGATAGGGATCACCCTGAAGGTGCCAGTGGTGAAGGAAGCTGCCTGTGCCTTCTTGAAGGCTCAGACCAACTCAGATAACTGCATGGACATCATCGCCATTGCTGAGAAATTCAATCTGTCAGCGATCAAGCACCAGGCCAATCGGGCGATGTGCGAACGCCTCATCCAACTTTCCCAATCATTCCATGGTAATTTCTCTTTTTCTTAACCAGTGATTCTACATACAATGTTTTCTCCAGCAGCATTTTATCCAAGATGCTTTATTTGTCAAAGTAATGTGGTTAGGCTTAAGGGTTATGATTGGGTTTTAGGTAACTACATTTAGGTTTCGGATGGGGTTGAGGTGTAGTAAATAGTATTCTTTCCAGGGTTGATGCTAGGAATTTTGTTCGTTGAATAAATTGGCTGTAAACAATGGTTGTAGGGGATTCGTTGTGCACCTTTTTTTTTCTTCAAACTATTTGTATCATTAGAGTGATAACTAAAAATATTTCCCAAGTTAAAATGAAATAATAAAACCTTTAGTTTTCTTGCAGTTTTTTATAATTCTATCCAGCCTGAAGTTATAATTCTAAAAGCAAACACACAATTAATTTGAACCCTTCAATATATATCATTACAAATAACACACTAAAGAATTATTGAAACAAGGCCAGATGTGTGAATTCAAAAGGAGTAAGATTATAGTATGATAGACTTAAAGCAACAGAGCGTATACACTATACAAAGCATTTTGAATTGTGACTGGGATCAGTATATTTGTGCTGAAAGTTTTTCAGTAGGAATCACATGTCACAGGAAGCTCAATTGGAAATGTATGACATCAACACATCATTCTGTTCAATTGTTTGATTATTTTTTAATAAATGTTTTGTTTGCTTATTCTGTGCAGAAGAAACTCTCCCTTCAGATGAAGCAGAGATGTCTTCAGATGCTGAAGACCTCAATGATGGAGGAACTGAGATCACAGAGAGCATCAGTGATGCTGAAAATGAGCAGTCATCAAAGTTTCCTGCCCCAAAGACATTTCCAAGGAAATCACCTCTACGTCCCGTACGGCAAACAAGATATACCACAGTGAGCAAACAGCGAGCATCTCCTAGGAAGGTGGAAACCAAAGCTGCCTTGAAAGCAGTCACCCTCAGACGTAAGAAACCTAAGAAGTCTCCAGAGCCAAGGGCACCTTCCCAACGAGTCATGTCGATCAGACAGCGTGCCTTGAAAGCAAAACAAACTGCTATTGGTGTTGCTGCAAAAGCGAAGAAAGACTACCCATGTAAATTCTGTGATGCTATATGTAAAGGACACAGTGCTTTGCGATGCCACTACAGGAACAATCATGCCAAGTGCAAAAAATGTCGCAAGGTGTTCAGAGACGATGCAGAACTGACAGTACATCTAGAGGCTCACAGACAGCGTCAGCTCAACTCAAAGAAGATAAGAACCTACATTTGCCCGTACTGTGGAAAGAATTGTAACGTGAACTCTGCGTTGAAAATTCATATTCGTACACACACTGGTGAGAAACCGTTTAAGTGTGATATTTGCGATGCTCGCTTCATTCAGTCCATTAATTTGAAGCGCCATGTTCTGTCTTATCACAAAAATGATGAGCCGTATGCTTGCAATATCTGTGGAAAGAAGTTCAGAGTGTTGGTCTACTTGAAGAGCCATGAGGTAACTCACAGCAAGGATCGTCCCTTCCAGTGTGAGGCCTGCGGTGCAATGTTCAAGCGGAAGAGTGACCTACGAAGCCACAGGCGTGTCCACAACTCTGTAAAACCCTATGGGTGCAACACTTGCCACACCAAGTTCAAGACCACCAATGACCTCAAGGCTCACATGCTTATCCACAATGACAAGAAGCCACATGTGTGTGACCAATGTGGTGCAAGCTTCAAGCGAAGTGGTCACCTTAACAGGCATGCTAAGATCCACACCAAGAACAAGCCATTCCGTTGCGAACAGTGTGGGGCACAGTTCAATCGCAAGGAAAATCTTCGGAGTCATCAACGCATCCATTCTGGAGAATACCCATATAGTTGTAAAGTGTGCAGTGCTAACTTCCGACATCTCAGCAGCCTGAAGATGCATGAAAAGAGTCATTGGCCGTAAGTAGTTGTAGTGTAGAATGCTAAGTAATGATGATAAAGGAGATAACTATTTCATTGTATCTCTTTCTGGGTAACACAGATGGAGCAGTCATATAAATCCTTGAGGTGAAGGTCTTTGTACAGTTAAACCTGTCTATAGCGACCGCCCAAGGGAAACACAAAAAGTGGTCTTTGAAGACAGGTGATCTTTGTAGACAGGTTCATTTAGTATATGTTTCAATGAGAAACCATTTTCAAGGGAAACTAAAAATGTGGTCCTTGTAGACAGGTGGTCACTAAAGCAGGTTTGACTGTAGTTGAATTTAGCTTTCGGCTCAGAGCTGGCTAAAACAACATTATTAGAAAATTGTTTAAAATTCTACATGAGAGAGGAGGTACCATACTTTCAGATCATTCAGGAACCAAAAAGATTTGTCTGGACCCTCGTGCTAGGTTTTGTACTTGATGAAGAATCGATAGTAACATTTAATCCATGGAAAACCTTCTTTATTGGTATCAAGATGTCAATCAAAGCTTTAAATAAAGTTTTTAAGTAAACGAAGAAGGTTTTCTTTCAATTTTCTTCTCAAAGAGGGGTGAGGTAGATGCCTGAACGAAATTGTTTGGGATGTCTAGATGCACAAAAAGGCAATTGTATCTGCGTTGTTGGATACATTTGTAAAAATTATGATACCACTTTTATATTTGCTTTTGTAGTGTGAAAGCTCCACAGAAGGATGAATCCCAGGATGCGAACCGGAATCCTGGTCTACTAATGCACCTCTTGACCCCAGCCAATAGGACACTATCAGCCACACCCATGGTTCCAACAGAGGAAGCAGAATCGATTCAATTCACTGCAACACGTCAGGGAGTAGTACCCATCCAGCTCCATGTTGCCTCTTCCAGTCTGCAAGAGCTAGCTGGAGGAGGAGGAGTAACAACTTCAAATGGTATTGATATCAATCTGGTTAACCTAGCAACGGGCACCTTGAACCAACCCAGCCACTCTCCTTCACCACCTCCACAACCTGCTCGACTACAACCTGTGGTACCCCAGCAGGTTCAGCAGCTGATCCAGCACACCACTCCAAATCCAGCGGCCTTGCTGTCCCTTAACACCACCCAGGCCTTGGCCCAGGTCCAAGCTGAAGCCCAGGCCCAGATCCAAGCTCAGATCAATTCTCAGTCTGTTCCTCTGCAGCTGACCACCCAGCATCACAGTCACCATGCTCGTCATCAACATCATTCATCCGGTCACCAGACTGTCCCGTCATTGATCTCAGGAACCATTCCAACAGCTGTAGTGCAAGAGACCCACCAGTTTATTTTGCAATGAAGTAATAAAAAGTTATTCAATTTTAAATGCCTCTAATATGACATAAAATATGACAAAATCTGCTTTTAAAGTGTTTTTATGCCTCCGCTACAAAGTAGCCGGAGGCATTATGTTTTCTGTTTGTTTGTCACTCGTCCGTACGTCTGTACGTCCCATTCTCATTTTATTGCGTTATCTCAAGAAACTATTGTTGGATGACCCCCAAACTTGGGTCATATGCATCTTGCAGAACCAATGAACTGATGAGGTTTTGGGGCCAAAGGTCATGGGGCTCATTATGTCTGCAAAAATAGCTTGTGAGCAATACTGACGGACGGATTACTATCAAACTCAGGGCATGTATGTATCTTGCAGAGCCAATGAACTGATTGATTTTAGGGTCATGAGGTCAAAGTTCAAAGGGTCATACATGTATATGAAAAATACCTTGTAATCACGATATTCTAAGAACCTGTTAACGGATTACAATCAAACTTGAACTTTTTGTAATTGCTTCTATTTTGGTTTGTAAAATCACCTCATGGCGGAGGCATCATTTTCGACTGCCTACAGTTGAACATGCATCTTGTTTTTTTAAGGAACAAGGAGACTGAAAATGTTTAGGGCAATTCCATGATTCTTGCTGAAATACAGTCATGTCCATCTTGAACTTGAGACAGGACTAAATGTATATATGCAAAAAAATCTTTGCTTCGCATTCAACATCAACTTTGAGCACAGTGCACCTATTTTGAGTTGAACCTCATGAGTGTTGTTTATGTGTTAAATTGCATATGCCAAATCCCACCGCTGCCACCATTTGATGCATTTTAGGGGGTTTTCTCACTTGCTCTCATGCACATTCCAACATGAGCAGTCACTTTATTTTGGGAACTTGCCAAAGTACATATTGCATGTCGTGCAAGACACACAGACTCACTCAGTCAACCTTTACTCCGTGCTCACTCGGTCCTATGATAATGAGAGCAATCAAGCACGCAACCATGCACACATTCATGAATGCAGTTAACAAACAATGATGGAGTTAGGGAATTATATCGTACCCTTTAACTTGTCTTGTCAAAGAGCTCTCTCAATAACTATTTTGTCACAATATTGCACAACATATCCAGCACATTTATGAGAGCTTTTATACTTTATCCAGAAATACTGTTACGGACATTACATACAAGGTATAGCATGTATCGCTGTATATGCGTAGAGGAAATACTTTGTATTCTGCACTATGATATTGATTTCTGAAGACGGATACCCTGGCCCTTGCATAATAATCATTTGTAACAACTCGCCATCAATAAATACAATTGCACGAGTTCATTAAGATTCTGACTTAATGAAATGATTGAACTGACAATAGTGCATTTGAAAGTGTGCCATGGGACTATGTAAGTACAATAAACCTACAACTTGGATACTATTTTTATGCTAAAAATTCTGTTGAAAATTAGTAAAAAAACAAACTTTAATGCATTCATTTAAATTAGAGTTGACTCATGCTCAAGTATGGTTTTGATATGATGGAAAGTCTAATGTCTGACATTTCTTTTATATTATACAAATATACCAAGCTGTGAGAAAAAATAGTGGAAATTATCTATCTGAGGAGGGACTGGCATAGTATTATTTTTTCAGAGGGGCGAAGCCCGAGGACAAAATAGTAATTATTGCCAGTCCCTCCAAAGATATATAATTTCCACTATTCTTACAAACTAAATGCTTGGTAAATTTGTTTTCTATCCCTTCTTTACGAACCCTTTAAAGGTCAGTGTAAGGTCAACGTTTGACCTACTGATTGGCTGGCATATGGTTTTTAACGCGCTATCAATGACATCCAATGTCACCCACATTGGGGTATTGAAGAAGTTTACAATCAGTTTGAATTTGTCAATTTAACCTGCGCACAGTTATATTTACGCGCATTTATAATGAGATGCGCTAATTGCGCATTACTTTTGATTGAACGTGTGATGTCACAATGCAATATCTACCTGAAAATCTCAAAGAGAGCGTGCGCAGTTCTGCCCAGGAAAAAATAGTGAAAAATATTGGAGCTCTGGCAAAGATTTGTTGTTAATAGTGAAAATTATATATTTTATCACGTGACCACTAATTGACCAATCATGTATTTAGAAAAGTCATGAATAGTCATAGAAGGGATATACATGTAGTACATTAAGAATCATGAGTTTAAACAACATTGTCAGTACTTAAAAGCCTAATCTATGTATTATTTGTTGATCACCCTTCAATTCTTGACATGAAATAAGTCTTCAAGTTTGTAATACATGTTTAATATATTTACATTCGTAAGCTTACTTAATTTTATGTTTCCTTACCACTCATTCTAAAAGTAAGTTTCTCATACTGAAGGCTTAAACTCTTAGATTATATAGAAAATGCATAGGTATGCAAAAAGTCCAAATGTCCCAAAAATGTTATTTGCAATACATGTAACTACCAAACGATTTAAAAAAAACATTTGAAACTCACTGTTTATACTTCACTGGTAATTCGTTTGTAATTCTAATATATGAGATAAGAATAAACAAAGTTATGTTTTATGAATGACCTCTTGAAGTAGTACAAATTTTCTAAGATGTAATCTACATCACTCTGGATTTGCCCTTATGCATTCTCCATTACATGTAGCTTTGTTTAAATCATATTTCACATTCAGTAAATGTGAAAAATTAAAATTTGCACTAAAGTCAATGAAAGGGAGTACATCTATAGGTCCAAATCTAGGTCTTATACGGTACACACATCCACACTTATACCGACTATGAGTTTACAACACATATTACAAATGAGGTTGAACTAGACAGAGTTTAAGTTATAATGGTTCCTTTTTATTGTTCACTGCAATTTACAAGACTTCCCTTATAGGGCAATTCCACGGTAACGGAAGGACACTCAGACAAGATTTTTGAACTTCAGGTTCATACTAAAAGAACTGTTTTATTAGTATAAGATGTGAAACAGTACAGATATAATACCTATATAAGTGCCTTTAATTCTCCCCCAAAAAATTGTCATTATAGTTAAGTAGTTTAAGAATGTGCATATTAATTATCTCGGTAACGGAAGGACATAAAAATGGACATGGTTTTTCCAGTTAATTAGTGTTTATCCAAACTATGTGAAGTTGATGAAGCTTTCCACTTGACTGAAACACATTTTGTTCCCCATAGTTTAATACATACTAATAAAACATTTCTTTTAGTATGAACCTGAAGTTCAAAAATCTTGTCTGAGTGTCCTTCCGTTACCGTGGAATTGCCCTATATCAACCATATCAATTTATGAACCCATTCTTTAATTTCAAGGAGAAAAATCTTTTTTCTCTCTATATTTAATATGCAATTTAAAAAATTTGAGCAGTATTGAAATAACACATATAAACGTAAGTATAGCAACAGGATTCTAGCTAGAAGGACCTTTGGGCACTAAAAAGACATACATTTCTTGTAGAAGATTATCTATAATTTTCTTTTGTTTTTAATCCACATGATGTATTGGATGCCTCTTTTAGGACACCATGTTTCTCAATTAAGACACCGAAATTTTCCATCCTTGCTAAAAGAAAACCTGCTTGATGATCAAACCAGGCATGTGGATCTAGAATGAGAAAACAAAGACGTCATACATATCGTCGCTGTTTTCACGAAGTGACGGTAGTGATAAAAAATTGCATTCACTTTGCGTTACGATTTTCCTCACTACCGTCACTTCGTGAAAACAAGGACGATATGTGTGCTCCTGGCACTGTCAGTATTTAAACAATTTTCACAGAGGATCCTGGTACCCACAAATATTATTTTGTATCATAGTTTGTGTATGCACTCGTATCAAAGTATACACTGAATTGGAGGGCGAGTTTATTTTCCAAAGGTTTGAAATTGATTGGTAGTTCCCTGGAAGGAAGTTGCTAAAGTGAGGGGTTCCCAAAATGCAAAAATGTTCTCAAGATTCAAGATACCAGTACTCTTGCCATTTGTATAATAATGCATCATTTAATGTTTAATAACCTAAAAGGTTTTATGTTTTTGCATACATAATATATTTCTAGAGATAAGTTATCCCAAAAGGTAGGGATTTTTCAATGTTTTGTGCAGCTGATTAAAATTTACAAAGAATGTTGCTTGCTCTTCAAAATTAAGTAATTTGCTAATATTTGGGATTTTCTCAGGAATCCTGATACCACCAATATTGAACTTTGACTGTAAATGATAGAACTGTATTTGAATATTTCCTTTTGATAATATCTGAGCTAGTGACATTGTTTTGCTCAATCCTTTCCTGGTATTTTTTTATTCTATTTATTTACTTATTCATTCATTTCTGCATTGTTTATCATAATTGCATGATATAACCAAGATGAGATTGAACTTACAATAGCAGTAGACTTTAAAAAGACAGTTACAATCATAAAACATTAGCAGCAATACTGCATGGAGAAACATGCAGAGGTTTATCAATACTAATGACGGTAGCTATAATAACAAATTAAAAAGCTAAAAATGTGTAACGATCCCCAAATATACATGTAAAACATTTTCAAGATGGAGAATAAATGCATAGGAATAGAGTAGAATAGCCCTTACCTGTTTAAAATAAATGTATAAGTTAAGAGGAATATTACGATGATTATTTCATTTACATACATTGTATCGAAGAGTATAAAACGTCTGTTAGAAGCTAGAACGTTTACGCATATACATCCGTAGAAATAACAATCCCATTGAAAGAATCATGAAAATCATGTCATGACATGAAATTGATTTTTGATTTTTTATGTCAGCTCAGTTGATTTTGTTTGTATTTCTTCTTTTGTTATGAAAAATAAGAGGTTGACACTTGGTGCTCCATGAATCAATGGAAAAGGTCAAGCCATGTTTTACTTTCTGTTTTTATACATACAGGACATTATATTCACTTAATTTTATGAAGATTTTGATGGACTTAGTTGATGAAAATTGGGATAATGTTTTAAGATGTTGATGTTAATGACATTTTTGAAATATATATGTGTAAGGGATGAACATTTCTATTCTCATATATAATTCAATTAAAGAATAAAATACATATTTTGATATAGCACACAATTTGTGAAATGTATTCTTTACTTTTAAATTTAAAATTGGAGAAGCCGGAAGTCCTTGCCATGGAGCATTAATGTTTTGCAATGCATTCTCTTGTTTTAATTGACTTTCGGTCGGTCTGATGTTGTGGCCAAAAGGTAACTATTGGCCACAGGGAAGTGTTTGAAGACATGCTTCATAAGTTCCACTTGTTA